ACCCACCCCAGCTGGGAAGTGGCAGCATGGCAGAGCCCCTGCCCCCAGTGCTGCTGTGCCCGCATCCTGTGCTCCGCCACCTCCCTCACCAAGTAACGTGCCCCCCCTGCCCCAGCCCCAATCCCTCTCTCCCTCCCTCCTCCATGCCTCTTCCCTCCCCACTCCCCCAAACCCCAACAGACTTACCAGCTGGAGGCAGCTGTCAGCTGCCTGTTTATCCTATGGTTGAATCTCTGAATTGGCTGAATCTTTTTCCAAAGCTTTTCCGAAATGATTTGGATGCTTCAAATTGTTCTGGAGCTTTTACTTGGTCTCCCGATTCAATTCGGATTCAGAGATTTGGTCCTGGAATCGGGCCAAATCTCCTCCGAATCGAATCAGCTCCCGAAGCTTCGCACAGCCCCAATAGGATGGACTCTCGGTGTCAATAATGCATGTGCTATCTCATAAGAAAGTTATATCAATGTTTTTGGAAACTCGGCATGGCTAATCAGTGCATTCCTTTTATACGGTAATTGAATATTTTGCTGCATCTCACTGTTGTGCATTTTGGTGGCTCAGGTGGAGTATAAGAAGGACCTGGAAAACAGTAAGGGCCACAGTATTAACTACTGTGAGACTCCGCAGTTCAAGAATGTGAGCAAGATCGCAAAATACACCAGTGACGTAAGTTCCTAGAAGCTGTAGTTTGATGAAAGCGTAACGTAGTAGTTGCTGGAATGACAATTCATCTGTGTGCGCCATATAAGCCAGGCAATCGGAGTAAAAGCTGCACAGCGTGTTTGATTATAAATGTCGTTGTACTCTGTGCACAGTGCTGGCCTGATCCAGGACTGGAGCTCTTATGGGTTATGGTAGTAGGAATAAGTAATAGGCACAGAGGGAAAGGAGACTGAGCGCACTGCATTGTTTATTGTTCACTTTATTTTTCACAATGTGTCATTTATTATATCTATTTCTGGCAGGAAAATATGTGCTGATAATCTCAGCAGCTGCTTTTTGAGATGCCCATTGGAGAGTGAAACATTTTAAAATAATATGTAAAATGAATGCTTGTTACTATTGGTGGATCCGTGACTCCTTTTAAATCATTTTGAAGTAAAAGGCAGGAGTTGGAGGATGGACAATTAACCCAATGATCAGACCTCCTAGCTGGCTAAGGTCTGATGTAAGACAGAATGGGCACATCTACGTGCCAGACACAGCGTGCCAGGCACTGCCACATACAAATATACTGTGCAGCTAATGCAGGATACCTTCTGAACTGAGGCAGTGTTGCTGCATTCACAAAGCACTGTGTTTGTGCTAATTAGCAGTGCTGAGTGTCAGATCTAATTAGCTTGCCTTTAGCCTGTGCAGAAATGGTGATGCTGCTTCATATTCAGGAGGTAAACCAGGCAGAGTGGTACAGCATGCTTGTGTGGGCCACTGCCCGCAATAGTAAGTTTGCTGTGTAGGTGTGCTCAGGGTGTGACAAAGAGCAAAAACTGCTCACAAGTTAAAGTTGTTGTTACTCTTATTCAAACAGATTAATCAAAGGTAAAAGTTAAATTGTGGTAGTAGTATTTTCTTTGATAACTCTTTCTGTAAGTTTAGTTAAATAATTCTTGATTTCTGAGCTGAATACTTTTCAGCAATAAGGTGAGGGGACACCAAAACTGTGTGATTTCTGTATGATACTTTGGGCATACAAGAAATGACATCCTCTGAAAAAGGGACCTTTGGGGAATAATGATTATACATCTTGTTCCTTTTTTCTTTTAAGTAAGCAAAGCTATACAATCCATAATGCTTTTTTAAACTAGGGAAACATCCCCTATATCATTTCCCTGCACAGTATCTGCATGTCTGCTATAGCACAATCAAATGTAATGCATGTTCTGAGCAAATATTTGCTTTGGTTTGCAGCTTAAATACAAAGAAACCTACCAGAACCAGATGAAGGGTCATTATGAAGGCATTGGCATGGACAGGCGCATGCTACATGCCATGAAGGTTGGCAGCTTGGCAAGCAATGTAAGTCTTTTGTGCTTATACTGTAGCAGGTACTTTGGCAGTGTTCTCTTTTGTACATAGCTGCTTTTTTTCCCTTTGATTTTACTAGTGTAGATTTGATAGGAAACTTCACATTAAATTATGTATGTAGTATTTAAGATGGATCTGTCAAGAAGAGTGGAAATCTATTAAACCATTCTGCACTATGTCCTTATATTGATCCACCTTGATACCCAATTCACCTTGATACCAGTCCTGAAAACTACTGAGCTCCTCCAGCTTCATTGATATAAATAGAAGTTGAAGTTGCTTAGATCCTTTAGGGTCAGTCTTTTGTCAGAAACAACCTCCATTTTCAATGAAGAGTTTTGAATCCTTGTTTAATTTGCTGGGTTAGTCAAGAAACTATTTCATTACACACCATTCCTTCAAGTGCATTATTTACAAATCCATAACAAGCTCAAGAACTAAGCAGAAAGATAAAAGAGATATGTCATAGGCAGAAGTTAAGTTAATGTTGCAACTGTTGGCATTGGATTAATTGCAGAGCTGAAAAAGAATCAATTAGTGGCTAAACTATGCAAATAATTTCATTTCTTTTGTCAGTGACGGTACTGAACTTACTTTGTTTCCTGTGTTTAATATTAATATTATTGTTTCTCCTCTCCCCTTGACTGATAATTATTCAAACAAATGACAGCTTAAAAAAAAGATTGATTGTTATTGTTTTCCTTCTGTTTCAGATAGCCTATAAATCTGATTACAAACACGATGGTGTTGAATACAATTATCCGGCAACGCTAACTCCTTCCTATCAGACAACAATGAAGTTGGTTCCTTTGAAAGATGTAAATAATGTTATGGCTTCTCATCCTGTTGCTTTGCTTGGCTCAGCCTCTCCTTGTAGGAGAGAATGCCAGTGCAGAGGGTGTGTCAGGCAATGGTTCAATTAGGACGACAAACAGCTGGTGACTGCAAAATAAAGTCAAACAAGCATAGTGGGGGCAGCAAGGCTCAGGTGACTAGCTCTGGGAACCAAGGAAAGTGGAAAAGGCTAGAGAGAATGGGAGAATAAATATTCCCATCTGGTTGCATATGGGAGACTCCCCTGCCTCTAGAGCAGGGGTTTCCAAACTGTGGTACTCGTATCCCTGGGAGTATGCAAGACATCTCGGCGGGGGGTGTACAAAAAACTGTGTAATGGCAGGGGAAAATTGTGTGATAGCAGATTTAATATTCATTATAATAATAATTGCATTTAAGGGTTTAAAGTATGCTGGTAGTGGTATGCAGGCAGATGGTAAATCTGGAAGGGGGTACACAATAAGAAAAAGTTTGGGACCCTCTACCTTAGAGTCTGAAATAATGGCAGTGATAATTGCAGTGTCAATGGCAGTGACCATTTTGAACTAGTACAGATTTATCATGACTCCAAAAAGTTTTTGTGCATGACTAGCATGATAGATTCTGTGCTTGATTGAGTTATATACTCCAAAGAAGAAAGTGTATATGGCACATGCAAGCAAACCTGCCTTTTGCCCAGATCTGTCCAGAAACTGGAGCTCAGTCAAGTGTTTGGGGTATAAGTTTGATAGGTTTTTACACAGCTGTCATTCCCAATTCTCAAAGGATCATCAGCAGCAGTAAGTACATATAGTTCAGTTAAAAAAAAAAGGAATCTTTCAGCTGAAGAGAGGCCCTAGATATCTATAAAGAAAGAGTGAATGAACAGTTTTAAGTACATTGATCCCTTTGGCCTGTGAGATAAGTCATGCATGTCTTCTAGTGTGAGTTAGTATGGAAGGAAATAGAAGTGTGCTTACACATGGATATCTGAGATAAAAGGACCCCATTAAGATGGATTCCATAACTGTAACTGCCATTAAAAATGTACTTTATGCAAAAAATGTACTTGAAGAATTAGTTTTAAGCAACACATAATTTGCAGTGTTTGCAAAGAGGTGATTAATGACAGTGAATATTAATTAAGGACAATAGAGAATAATAATTGTGTCTACCAGTGTAATGCAGAGGCCCTTGGGAAAACTAGGTTTAAAGGAAAACTTTCCTGTGACATTTTATTTTGCATAATTTGGAGATTTAATATATTTCCTTTTGTAGATTATTATTGCTGCTGCTGGATTAGTGTGGTAGGAATTTAGTGAGCTCTAAATCCAGTCAGTGGCTGATGCTGAAATTATGTTTTTAAGCATATATCTTTTCCCTTCTAGAGAAGCCTACACAAAACTTTTATGTAAGATTTTTTTAGTATAAGTTATTAACTTTAAGAATCAGTACAGGCAAATAGTAATAGAGCTCACTGAATTATAATTTGTTCTGCACAACTTTATGCTGGATGCTGAAGAGAAGCTGCAGCTTCCTCTCTAGAAGATAAAAGGAATTTGGGGAGATGGCTCAAGATATTAATTGTGTAAGAAGGCTGTTGAGGGAAACTGCATCTCATTAAAAAAATCCGCATTTGTAGCAAGGTTCAATTTTGCATTGGAATAAAAGAAAAACTAGGAAACATTAGGAGGATTAACAGTTGGTTGGATTTAATCTCAGTGGCATGTACAAGCTTTAGGAGTTGTTCTGCAATGTGACTTATTATTGTTTAAGTTGTAGCTTTCAATTTATTATAGTTTTAGGTTGTAGTTTGAACCTATTAGCAAAACACGCCATTCTTCTCAGGTGCTGTCTGAGTATTTTCTCCTTTCTTTGTTTCTTAGGCAAACTACAGGCAAAGCATAGACAAGCTGAAGTACAGCTCTGTGTCCAGCACTCCACAACTTGCTCAAGCCAAAATAAATGCACAGCAGCTCAGTAACGTAAGTCCTAGAGCCACTGACCACTTCTGCTTATTAGTATAAGTAGGGACCTACCACAATCGCAGTGGAAATGCGCTGCTTGGATGCTCCTTTCATATTTCTCGTTTCCGTACCTGCCCCTCCCACCTGATTGGCTGGGAGGTGCAAAGCATAGTTTTAAATATGCTGTGGTTTTTTGCCTCCCAGCAAATCAGCAGCAAGCGGCAGGGCTGCTGGGGCACCTCTGCCAATCAGTGGTGGGAGGCAAAAACCCACAGCATATTTAAAACTAGTTTTTGCCTGCTGGCCAGTCAACACCTTGTGGGGCGGCCGCTGGGACCCCTCTGCCAATCATAGCCACAGGGAGGGGTTGGGCGGTGAAACAAGCAAGATTAAAGGAGCCGCTGCACAGCACATATCAGTATATCAGTGAGCTTCTCATTGATTATAGTTGATAATTACTCTTGTCACTAAAATTAATAACAGAATGATGTCACTTTGAAAACCCTTAAGGGCCACCAGTGCAGATCCATATGTTTTTTCCTTCTTATAAACTTACAGCATATGCTCTTCTGTCCTATTGGGCTGCTTAATGTATTAAAACAAACCACAGGCATTTGAAGTTAAAAGGAATTATATGTGGCACATTGAAACTAACTGTAGATTTTCTTTCAACATCTATTTAGCTGAATTACAGAGCCCAGTATGAGAAGACCAAAACACATTATACTCTACCACAAGATGTACCTCAGTTAATCAAGGCAAAAGCCAATGCTGAACTATATAGTGAGGTAAGAAAGTGACTTGCAAATATAGATAGACATGCTATCACAGAACTGAGTAATAATGAACAGAAAGTAGCTCAGATGGTTCAGGAAGCATTAGACATTGTGCTATTTTTCAACAATATGAGGTTGATCCCACAATAAATAGGGATAAAACGTGAAGCAGGACCTAACTGGGAGAATTGTTCTGAGATCTTTCAAAATGACTTGAATTTCTGTAGGAGGCAGATGTGCACATGAAAAAGCTTGCCCATCCAATTATCACTCACTGTATTTATCACTTTCAGGACAGTATTTGCACAAAGACCAGCTATTTAGGTCTTGATGGAAACCCATTGAAGTCAACAGAAAGACTCAGATTGACTTCAGTGTGTTTTGGACCAAACTCACTATTGCTAAATGTCATGATTTATCACACCATGGGCACTTAAATCTCTAGGGATCAGTCTGTGTCAGCTTTGACTTAGAGAAAGCACATCTGGGCAGAAACTTCCCAAGGCAGTATTGCCAACCACAGGGAACCAATTCATGAGACTGGCCTCAAAACCATGACATTTTGAGCAAATAATATTTTTAGCTGCCCTACAGTTTTTGAGTCCTGAGGGAACATAAGGGTCACATGAGTGACATGAGGAAACATGAGGGTCATTATCAATTTATTTTCACAATTCTGAGGGCATAAAACTTCTTTTGCTTTATAAACCACAGGCAACAATCTCATCTTCAATCAATTTGGCACCTAACTCCATTGACTTTTAGTGAAGTTAGGCATCTAATGCCATTGGGCATCTTGGTTCCTTAAAACTGTCAAATGATTCCACATGCTTGGGGGATAAATAGGGAATCACAAGCTGTACACATGTGCATCTGCCCTTTTCCATGGTTTAAACTGATCATGCAATACAACACAAGAGATTTTCTTTTATAGGTAACTAAGTATAATGTATTTTTTCTTTATTCCTTGCTGTTTTCCATGCTTGCATAAAGTGTTGTGTAAGGATATGTAAGTTGGGTGCTACGCTGTTTTATTTTTCCCCCTCAGGTTAAGTACAAAGAAGGTTGGGAGAAGAGCAAGGGCCATGGATTTGAAATGAAACTGGACTCCATGCCTTTACTTGCTGCCAAAGCCTCAAGAGATCTTGCCAGTGATGTAGGTTATTTTTTAAGTTATACTTCATTGAGTAAGAATGATGCCTGATAGAAAATGGATTGAGTAAGAATTACTCCTAATAAAAATATTGTACCCCACCTCGTTTATCAGTCCTGGACGTTACTGTTATGTCTTCATCCTTCTAAAAGGCTCGTGAAAATTATGAAACATTTGTTAGACTCATTTCTATGCAACTGACTCCCTGAAAAAGGCCTTTTTCCTGCATGCAGAGGGCCAAAGTAACTTCTGAATATTCCTTAGTCAAATCTAGTTGAATCTGCCTTTAGTAAAATTAAACACTTCAGCCCTTTCTCTACACTTTCAGCAAAGCACATTTCTTTGACTTGCCTTCTTTAGCATGAATGTAGAGTAGTGTGTAATTTTTTAAAAAAGACCCTAGAAACAGATACTGCCAAGTGACAGATATTAGTCGCATTGCTTCACACATTACTGGAAGGTGGTTGGTTATTGCAACGATGAGCACAATATATGCTCCGAACAGAACAGGCCAAAAGTTACTTACGTCAGCGGGGAAAAAAAGCTGAGCCGACGCTAAAGTCCACGCTCATTTTGTACTTAGTGCCTCACTAACAGTTTGCTTCCCAGATCCTGAGTAACAAACTCAGGAATTAGCTCAGTAAAATTAAAAAAATAGAAAAGAGAAGAATGAACAGTTTTGCTCTGGGAAAGATGTAAGATTGATCAAATGATCCAAGCTAGCAAAGGCTGCGTTTTTTGAATAATAACAATAAAAATGCAGGTAAAGGGTGTGCAACATGCCCTCTGCTTTCTGAACACCCAAACAGCCAATAAACAAACACTACATATTTCTGCAGTAAAGAGAAACTTATAGTATGCTGTTTTCCTTTCTAAAGATTAAATACAAAGAAGAATATGAGAAAACAAAAGGCAAAGCAATTGGAACCAAAGATTCAAGACTTCTCCACTCTCTGCAGGTGTCTAAAATGAGTAGTGAGGTAAATTATTTATTTCTCTTCCTTAAAACGTGTTTTTCTTAATTATAAATCTCTTTCAGCAATTCCACTTTTCTTCCCCCATCCTTCTAGTGTCTCTTTCATAATCACTCCTGGGGTGTTATTGGGTAAAACTGGTTTCCTTTCTCAAACTCTTTATCTACAAGGCATACATGCTACTTATATTTTGTTCAGATGCTGCTCCCTAACACTGGGTTGATAGCATTGATCTTACTATGGGAGGTGAACAATTACATTGCACCTTTTTTTTACATTATGACATAAAGCTTACAAACAGCTATAAAATAAGCAAGTACAGTGAAGGGACCTGCAATGTGTTACGCATCCAGGGAAGAAGCTGCCATGGGAACCCCCCAAAATTCAGGTTGACCGTTTGGATCCACTTTGAGGTCCTTTTTGTATCTCAGCCCTGCATATGCTTACCTCATCTGCAGTGGGACAGGCAAATTTATCCACTTTAAAACCAATGCAGGAGTACTTAATTTTGCAGCATACTGCAAATATACACCGATATCAAACTATTTACTTTTAAACCACTATGTTCTCCCTTGTCTTTCTTCTAGTAAGGATGACATATTTTTTTCTTTGTATCCTAGATTGCTTACAAAAAAGGTTTCGAGGAGAGTAAGGCCCACTTCCACTTGCCTATGGACATGGTAAACATAAAGCATGCTAAGGCGGCTCAGGCTTTGGCCAGTGACCTTGACTATAGGAGGAAACTCCACGAGTATACAGTGGTTCCAGAAGACATGAAGACAACATGGGCCAAGAAGGCGTATGGACTTCAGAGTGATGTAAGATCACACAAACCTCTTGTGAATGTTGCTGTGGGTGCAGAGTAACAGAGTTACCAGAATATAAAACAGATGGTTACTAGGATATTCATGATTTAATTATATTTACTTAACACTTATGTATCCTTTTATATCTTCAAAGTGTCTCTTGATGCATTTAAATTGGCAAGCATGCACACTTTCAAGTGACAGCACTGTATCTGTGTCCTCGTCTTTTTTGCTAATAAACATTTTTTTTCCTTGCAGCTTCAGTACAAGGCTGATCTGACGTGGATGAAAGGAGTTGGGTGGATAACAGAAGGAAGTCTCAATATCGAGCAAGCCAAAAAGGCAGGAGATCTTATTAGTGAGGTAAGCAACACACTCAGCTTTTGGGCTGAGGTTCTTGGAAGGCAGAAGTCTAGTTGGCCAGCTGTGTACACTACAGTATACTACACTACACTACTGTATACTACACTGCACTACTGTATACTACATGACACTCCAGCTGTGTACACTACTGTATGTGGAGGAGGCAAAAACATCTCAGGCACACTGGAAATCTGTGAAATGAGAGGGCTGATTGGGTGCTGCTATAGGCAATATGGGAAGTGCCGTGTTGTAACTGGGGATGCTACTGTTTGCCTATTGCACAAGTATACATTTCTCCCATTGAATTGGCTTTAGTGTTGCAGGGCTGTCATGGCGGGTTGTTGGGTAGTAAGAAATAGGTAGGTGTCTGAAGTCAAGCAGAAGGTGGGTGAGATTTGCACCTCATAGGCTAACCCAGTTAGAGATACATATAGCATAAGCTTTCATGATATGGAGCTCATTTAATCTAATGCTATATATATTTCTAATTTGGTTATCCTATAAGGCGCAAATCTATCCTGCCTTCTGCTAGTTTTCTGGGTAAGCATAATGGTTCCCTCCCACTCTTCTCCTTCTATGTGTCCCATTGGCCAAGTAGCACTGGAAAGGAATGGGATTTTCCATTTTCCAAAACTTCCTTGCTAGCTCAAGGCTCAGTTTTCTAGGAATTTTTGCTGGCAGTGTCAGCTCGTACTGCTGTCCTAGTCTTTTTTTTTTCCGATTAATTCAGGACCTGGCACTGCCAGGAAGGACACTTCATCAAGCTCCTAACTAGAGTCTAGTTGCATCATTTGGGCAGAAAGCAGGAAGATAGCAGAAGTCTGACTAGGTGGATAAAAGCCCACTGAGTGCAGGAATAAGTAAAATGAGACTGTTAGCTACTGGAGATCATACATTGCTGCTGTGGTCTCTGACATTCGCTCACTACTCTGCACTGAATGAATGGGCAGTCTATCCACATATGGTTCAACTTTCAGGTCTTTGTGCAAAAGGGCTGTCTTTGGGGTTATCAGTGTGAGGGGGTAGGTAGAACTGGATGGTCCTTTCCATATGCAAGACTGGAATAGGGGTGTGGGATGCCTACAGCCCAGCTTTTGAGGGAGTGGCTATGTAATGTATTTTGTTGGTACTGGAGAAAAGATGCAAGGCAATGCCTGAACGTTCATAGCATTCAAAACAGCAGAGAGAAATGTTTGTAACAAGAGATGTCTGTCCTAGTTTGAGATCCAGACAAACAGCACAATATTGTCAAGCCCCAGTCTAGTAAACAGTAATGTAAACAGCATAGATAAGTTTGAAAGGGCTTGTAAAATAAGTTAGGACTCACTAGCTCAGGGGATTGGTTTTACCAGAAAGAGTTTTTAACTTTTCAATCATTTGTTCAAATCCAGTCCAGGTAGTGAAGTTGGTCATTAGTCTACGCCTGAAATCTAGACCCAGCAGTGTGTATGCTCAGCATATCTAGCTCCAGTTCCTATCCATGTTTGTAGTCTCAGCAGAGGTTGATTTGGGATCTATAATGCATTACTATTATTACCAGCAGTGATTCTTCCAGCTTTGTTTCAGAGGGGAACTGGGGATAGGATGTGAAAACCTGCACTGCTGCCGTCTGCCCTATAACTGTCCCAGGGATAAAAGATTTTACTTCCCAGCACAATCAACAGTGGGCTTTTTAATAGCACTGATTTCACCGGGAAATTAAATGTAGTTCTAATTTCTGTATCCCATTTTCTTTTAATCAGAAAAAGTACAGACAGAAAGCTGATGCTCTGAAGTTCACCAGTGTTGCTGACAGTTCCCAGATCAAACACGCAAAGAAAAGCCAGGAACTGCAGAGTGATGTGAGTCCCCATTTTCCCTTCTCTTTCTAATTCACTGACTTGCTAATTCTTCTGGGCAGGTGCAATCACTAGAAAAGCTATAATATCAAGTCATGTACCCTGCCAGCGCTTCAAATGAGTTTCCTGTTTCCCTGCATCTTCACAGATAGAAACCTTGATAGAGAACAGAAATATGCACCCCAGACTGCACGTAAGGGTCACATATGCCTCTAGAGATTAGATGGGATCCTTTGCCGCTCTTGCATGGATCTCTGCTGTTTTTCTTTCCTCAGTCAGAAACTTTTGTTTATCTTGGTAAGATCCATAATTATCCTGCAAACTTTAGACTGCACTTTCAGAGTCTTCCCAATGCAGAAGGTATCTGTAGTTTTCCCCAATATAGCCATCTTTCAGCAATACCCTTTCCTTCTTTACTTCTGAGAATAGAGTAATGGCCCTGTCTGCTGGTAGCTGTGATCTCCTGGCATGGTGAAGGCCTGGCTGGATCACAATCCAATTTAGTTTTCTAAAACAAAGGGCCTCTGTTGTTTAAGTTACTGATCACCTAATTTTAGTGAGAGCAATGGCTGCCGAGAGAGAGATCCTTTCTATATGTTGTGCCTTGCACTGAAGACACTGCCTGCTGTCTAGGTACTACATGAGCAATGTGCCATTCTTTCCAGGTTGGCCTTTCCTAGATAGTCGCTTCATTTCCCTGTAATAATCCATGGCACTTCACCACCCTTTTCCATCCATACCTCTCAACCCTCTTTACAAAGATGGGTCACGCAAAGATGAATCAGAAGAGGCATCAGGTCTCCTGACTCCTAGTCCTTTGTCCTATTCTCTGGATTTGATGCCTCCCCACCGCTATAGAGAGCGTAGCTAGTTTGGTACCTCCAGGGGTTAGAGCACTCTCCTACTTTGTGGTAGATACAGCTTTCATCTGTTACTGTCTGTGAGATGCAGGCTGGTGAGGGCTTAAGTGAAAGGAGCATTTTCCATAGCTCTGCAACAACCCTCCTAGCCAATTTATGAGCAACTTTAATAGGTTGTGAAGCAGTGTGTCTCATCCTAGAGCCCACGTGCTGTTAGAGTTGCCTTGAGATATAAAATGGAGGTGCTTGCTACTTGGGACCATTAATGATCTCTGGCATTTCCATTTAAAGCAGGGACATTAGTCTAGTTCACATAAATTCCCCCTGCTGGTTCAATTGCATTCTCTATTTCCTGCCCTAAAACGTGCTATTACTGTGTGCTACTAAACAACTATCTTTACCCACCTAAAAAGAAGCTACATTTCAGTGGGAGAAAAAGTGATTTCCTGCAGAAACTGTGTACAGAGCAGAAGTTTATGTTAGCATTTATAACCAGTTCAGCATGAAAGGCATTATTTAAATATAAGATATATTGTTATCCATCTCTTTTTTGCTAAGAAGTCAGTAAGGCACAGGAGGTTGAGGAAAATCAGTGCAAAATTACTGTACGATAGGGGGAAATAGTGTGCTTTCCCCCCCTTGCTTTTTCAGATTTACAAGATTTGTCACTATGCTATTGACATTAACAGTGATTAAACTGGAGTAGTGTTAAGCTTTGCACTTTAACTCAAATTTGTCAGAAAGTACCCTGATAGTAAAGGCGTAACCATCATTGAATATTATTGAACATTTCTGTAAAATTGCTGTTCTTCTGAATAACTTAATGCTATTGATGATGTCTACTTTGCTTTCTGTGGACAGGTAGCCTACAGATCAGGGAAAGAGCAGTACCTCCATCATTACACCATCAGCAAAGATGAACCTCTCTTCATACAAGCCAGGACAAATGCTGCAAATATTAGTCAGGTACTGTACTGGTAGGGCTAAGCCATGTCGCTTCATCCTTTGTTGTTTATAGTTAAGATGAGTGATATTTCACAAAGCTGATATGGATGTTTAAATGCAACAACTCCAGAACCAGATTGTTCACTTTTGCTGAACTGCCGAGACATCTGACTGTTCATCTACGGAGTTGTCCTTTTTAGGTCCCAATCCATGCTTGACTTGGCTTAAGTGAGTCATCCCACCATTATATGAGTAATTCCATGGAAATGAATTTGGTACTTTGTAGGATAAGTTACTACCAGTTGGTGGTAGGGTATCAGCATCTTGCTTGAAATTTCTAAAGGCTACTATAAAGAGGATAACACAAGTTAATAATCATAACATGGTCACATTATTATCATCATTCTAGAACCTGTACAAGAGTAGCTGGGAGAAACAGAAGGAGAAAGGATTTGAACTTCATCTTGATGCATTGTCTTTCTTGACAGCTAAAGCAAAGAGGGATCTGGCAAGTGATGTGAGTATGAATTGCAAGAGCTGGGAGAGGTAGTATACCATGTCCATATCATGGTGCTAAGGGGTCCTTTCCAGTGGCTCTCATTTTGCCCATCTCCCTCAGTGCTTCAAGTCACCTTTGTTCCTCTTTCAGTCAAGGACAATGGGAAGGTTCTGTAAATGAAAGGTATTCAATAACTGGCCAAAAGAAAACTTATGACCAAAGACTGACCATGCAGCTGCTTCCCCATCTGCAACTCTTCTGCACATGCGGGTGAATGTTCAAAATTGGAAACTGAAAACCTCCCTTATAACACTGCAGAATAATACATTTAAGTCATTGGTCTGGCCCACCAGCCAGAAAATTCCTGAAAGAACTTTCTGACATAGAAAAAGTCCTCAGAATATATTGGTTTTCTTAGAAATAAAGGTAATTTGGGCTGAGTTTTTCATCTTTTTGATGACATGTAATATTGAGAAAGGTTTCTTTTTTATATAAGCCTAAGGGTTTCCAAGCTACTCTAATTCCCTTTTGCAAACAGACATTTTGATTGCTTGCACTGAAGATTCAGAATGCTTTAGAGACTAGATCTTATTCTCTTTTCTCTCCTGCATTAATGTAAGATCAAGTGCACCTCTGGGAAGAGATCAATTTACAAATGAGAGTCTTATTTCTGCAGTATTTTACCAAATAAAAAAAATCCAAATACATTTTGAGGGATCCTGGAAAAGGACAGCGACTGGAAAAACCTTGTTTGTTTTATTTTACCATTTTTTGTTGTAAATGACTACAACCTATCTGCCTCTCTTTGTACCTATGGTCCATTTTTTTTTAAATTCTTCACAGATAAAGTATAAGGAAAGTTATGAGAAGGACAAGGGTAAGTTGATTGGAGTGAAAGGTGTAAAGGAAGACTCACAGATGGCTCATTCCCTACAAATGTCCAAGTTACAGAGCGACCTGGAGTACAGAAAGGCATTTGAGGACGTAAAGACTCAGTATCACATCTCCATGGATATGGTCAATCTTGTGCATGCCAGAAAGGCTCAGGATTTGGCCACAGACAGAGGATATAAGACAATGCTGCATCATTACACTGCCTTGCCTACTGACATGAAGGTGGAATGGGCTAAAAGGGCCTATGGCTTGCAAAGTGATGTAAGTTTACAAGCTCATGTTTTTTAGCCCTTTTGCATGGTTGAGAATTTTTCTAGGTGAGGATTCACTAAGTTATGGATTTATTCAGTTAGGACCAGAAAACATTCCAGTTTATGTTCACTAAAGCCAGGATTCAAACTAGGTTCCTACATGTCTATAATTAGGTGGGGCAACACTGAAATAATAGTCTCCTTGCTTTAGTGGACAAATCAGTTTAACTGCCTTAGGTACCTAGGACCTGCAGAGTCAGTACAGGGATTTCAAAGTGCCTTAAAAAGGTTCAGGTTTAGGCACCCAGGTTCTCTACACAGAGCACAGGGAGTGGTAGACACCTCCAAAGGGTAATTCAGAAAGTCTGGAGACAACGGGAGCTAGCCAGTAGGAACTACTAAATACGGGTATGCTTGCACTTCTGCCCCTCTCAGGACGCTAGGCACCTGACACGTGGTTTCCATTACACATCGCCATTCACGCACTGCCAAATGGTTTCTGAAGGCTGGGACCTTCGAAAGAAAATCATGACCACCTTTTGCCCAGTAACTTAATAGTTAGAGGGAATTTGAACCCAAATCTCCCAGGAGAGTGCCCTGGCCAACAAGCTGCAGAATAGAGCAGGTGAAGTCATGCCTCTTATCTGCTGTTGACGGGGCAGCTACGAGTGAAAGAGAGCTGCAGGCAGGAGAGCAAGGAGAAGGAAGTCTGCCTTTGTAGCCTTGCAGTGGATGCCTTTCTCCTGGGAGAGAGGAGTCCTGTGATCCAGACCCTGTGGCCAGGATTATTATTATTTTTTAAAATCAATACCTGTCTAATGTAAAATGTGTTAGCAGTGCTAGGCGCAAGCAAGGAGAAGCCTGCCTCTGTGTCCCAGTGGTTACAGCAGTCCCTTGGCAGAGTCCTAATTTCTAGTTTCTGTGCCAGGGTAATGTCTGTGTTTAACCAATGCCTGTCCTCTGAAATGCATGAACAACTTTGGAAGCAGGGCAGTGCAATAATCACTAGGCTACGGAGAGATGGAGAGTGACCTTACCCAGGCTATTCAATTGCCTTGTAGTGAGGGTCTTCCCTTGGGAAATGGGAGATGTGGGTTGAAATCCCATCAAGATGAAGAGGGCTTAGATCCCAGATCTCACATGTCCTAGGTGAGTGGTAACTGTTAGGTCAGGGGTGGGCAAAATGCAGCCCATGGGCCGGATGTGGCCTGCTAAGCCATTCCATTCAGCCCGCGGGGCCCCTAAAATATTTAGAAAATTAATATTTATCTGTCCCTGGCTGCCTGTCATGTGGCCCTCGATGGCTTGCCAAAACTCAGTAAGCGGCCCTCCGCCCAAAATATTTGCCCGCCCCTGTGCTAAGTTCTTGGGAAAAAGGTGCACTTCATTGCAACCACACTAGAGCATAGGGAGGAGTCAGTTGCTCTGAAACCAGTGCGTACCACCATGTGCACAGACACCCCAGCACAATCATATAGGAACTTTATGGTCCATAGTGGAGGTGCCAATTAAATGTGATGGCTGCTGATACAGGGCCAATTTGAATGGTTTTTTTGGAATTCAAATAGCTAAACTGCCTAAATGTCACATAAAAAATGTCTAAATCCTGGCCTAAATCTCTGTAGTTTATAAGTACTCGCTAATTAGAGAGACAGGAACTATGTATTTGTACAGCTGAGTTGTAGTTAAAAAATAAGTCTTGCCATAATTGTTTTGCTTTAGTGTAGCATCTTTAAACACCATTCATAAAGTCTACTGCAGACACTAAGTAACCTCCTCACCTATGCAAGAGGTTTATTTTTCACCTTTGGCAAAAGCATGGTGTGAGGTACAGAGAAGTCAAGTAATTTACCCAAAGTGGTGATGAAATTGAGTACCAAACTCAACAATCGGTAGTCTAAGTGCTCTGGCTTAACTATTAAAGATGGTCTGTGTTTTCTGTAAGCCAGATTTGCCTCTTTAAGGACTTAGGCTGTGATTTTCAAAGGAGTCTAAGGAAGTTAGGTGTCCAAGTCCTATTCAAAATCAGTGGGAGTTTGGTGTCTAACCCTCTCGGTCTCTCTTGGAAATCTCAGTTACCTTTAAAAAATCAATTTATTTATTTTTATTTTATTTTTGCGGTTTATTGGGGGGGGGAGATTGCATTCCTACTGTTGTTGCTGAGCAGAAAATGTAGGGACAGGTGTTCAGGTAAGTACCCTTCACCACTAGCAATGTTGGCCAAAAGCAGCCGAGACTGTTGCGACACAAAGTATTAAGTGCGGGTGAACTGCTCTAATGTGATTCTGTCACAACTCCTCATTGTCCTGCAAGATCCTTTGAAACAAGGCCCTTCTGGCAAGCCTCTGTACATAAGAAAGCAAATCTCTCTGTGCTCAGGGTAAGAATTAAAGATGACAGTATTGGACTGGGCCAGTCTTTTTAAAAGATCACCTTGCAAAGCACGCCCTAGAACTGTTAGTAGGTGGTGATATGGCCATCTCTCTAATTTTTTTTGCCTCAACTGCAACTGTGTAGAAGCGAATAAAACAAAAGCAGGCACTAATTTGACTCGGTTGGTGTTCCTGAGATGTCTGAATCCTTTAATGGCACTTTAAATGTATGAGCACCAACAATGGGGCATTTTTTTTTTCTTTGTCAGAACCGATACAGAGCAGATTTGAACTGGATGAAAGGAGCTGGATGGATAGCCACTGGGTCATTAAATGTGGAGCAGGCTAAGAAGGCAGGAGAACTCATTAGTGAGGTGAGATTTCATGACAGCATGTAACAGAACTTGCTGCATAATGCGTGCAAAATGTCTGTATAAAATTAAAATAATTTCCACTCAAAGGGGAAAGAAAAAGGCATACCACATGAAAGCCCTCCAAACTAGGAATAGGACTGGTAATTAGAGGGAAGCCAGATACCAAACACACACCAGTAGGAGTCCATATAGCCTTTGCAAAAACAAAGTAGGTGACAAATGATATTATGAATAATAATGGCAATCAAACAGTGCTCAATTGCTACCCACTAGCCTACCTTTTTAATGAAGCAGAACAGGAGAGATGATGAAAAGATGCAGTGATTGCACCCAGAACCTCCTTTTGTAACATATACAAGTTCTTTCTTGCTCTCTTTTTCTCACATATTCACAGCAGACATTGAAATTCATGCGGATCTCTCTCGATCTGTATCCATCTGTCTTATCAGTTCTTATCCTTATTCTCCCCATGACCCCACATTCACCCACTTGAAAAGTGTGCTTTTCCAAAATCCTTTGTGCCAGTTCTTGCAGCCCTTCAAAGGAGTCACTGGCACAATCAGTTCAAGGGCTTGTGGTGTGTCATTTTTTTTCAAGGGGAGTCCTGTTGGCCAGATCAACTTCAGTAGCAAAATAAAGACTTATGACCCTGTGGATGACCATTGGTGATGCGTAGAGGGGGAACCGTCCACAAACACACTGAAAATAATGAAGAACCACATGGTTTATCTCTTCAGCAGAGCTGCAGTTATTCTTTAGCATGGGGCTATGGGCCGTATTGACATTTTCCTATATAAGCTTCTGTAGTGAGAAAATATATTTCTAGAGACTGAGCCAGATCCTCCTCTGGTAGCTTCACTGAAGCCAGTAGAACAATGCCAGTCTGAATCTGGACCACAATTATTATATGATGCAAAAGTTCACAAAAATAATTACTCTCCATTGGCATTAGTTAGGCATCATCAGTGGCAAAGAAACCAAGGGCTCACTTGGCTGTGAAGGCTGAGTCTTTTGCATTGGTTCCCCTAGATGAGGCTGGACCTAGGTTTGTCTCACAATCCTTGCTTTCCTTCTGTGTTGCAACAGTAATGCAAGCAATAGCAAGTGGTGCAACTTCAGACTCCAAAGCTGTTATATATATTTTTTATATTATTTATAAATAATCTATATTTATTTTCACAATTATATGGATACATCTTGTCATATCATTTAAGCAGCTTTAGGAGAACCATCTCAAACATTTGATAAAGCAGGATCCTAGTTGTTTATTTCTGCAGAGCTCTTCTTCATTCCCGGACAAATTCTTATAGGTATTAAGCCGCCTGCCTCTCCAGGTAAAGTCAATGGGAATTACAAGTTGCTCATTGGCTAAGAGTTACTTTGAAACCTAAAAACTGTGATGAGGGGTGTAACAATTTAAAAGTAATTATGTACTTCATAGCCTTGTCAACTTTTAAATCCAAAGGATCTTAAAGATCACACTTGAACCTTGACAAGGGAAGTATTTAGTTTTTGTTGATCATGATTTAACTGAAAGTAGGTTTGCAGGGCTTTAGGCTTGGATGCTGAAATATAAAGTTTCCAAAACTGCCATAACCATCCCAATATATATTGACTTGAGAACTTACCTTAGGTGTCAGCTTCCTACTATGCCACCATTATTTGCATTATTTATATTTCAAGGTCACTCAGTGCCTATACATGAGCATGGAAGCTGCTTTGAAACGCTGTAATTACAGTGCGTTGGTGCAGACTTGATTAATCGAATCTGCTGGAGCATGGTAATTAATTGCCGCACTCCAGGCAGCCGTCGCGTCTTGTGTATCAATGTCTCCATGCTTCAAAATGGATATGAGGGCACTTTATTTAAAGCTCATTTGATGAGCTCATTGATGTACGTCCCTTCAAATAAACAGAATTAAAATTAGTTCATATAAAATCAGCAAACTGTAAGCATATATTGGTGACCATGGAGCCATAAACATTTTGCCATGTTAGGGGGAAATACAAAACTTCAAACAATAAGTTACCCAGTGCCATTATTAGTGCAGTACAATTGGACATCGGTTTTTGCTTAAAGGAACTATGAATAAAAAATGCAATCAGTTGTTCTGTATTTGAAGCCATTTGCAAAAAGGCTTTCAAAGCCCAGGTCCCAAAGTATTTTAGGAGGTATAATCTGATCTTGCAATGTTTTCTTTATGTTTAGGAAGAAATAATTTAATATTAATCAGCAAAAGGTTATTGTTAAATTGAAACAAATATTAATCTGAAAGTACCTGGGACATAAAGATGAGGAAAGAGGAATGATAATTATGTTCACAAATTCACTCTAATCTTGAGCAACCTATGATTTTTCTCTTTCAAATAGCATGAAAGAGCAGCACAAAATTCACAGCTTTGATCTTTTTTCTGCTCAACAGAAGAAGTACCGTCAGCATCCATATGCTTTGAAGTTTACCAGTATTAAAGACACTCCTGAGATGATCCAGGCTAGAATTAGTTATAACCAGGCTGTGGATGTAAGTTATAATGTATATACATTATGATTATAAGAGTGGTATCCTCTTTGAACGCCCTGATTGAAGAACTGGCTTTCTCTTTCTAAGATTATTCTTGGGAACTGTGAAACTCCAAAGTTATAGTGAGGTGCACCTTACAAAGCGCATGTTTTTTTCTTAGACTGGAAAGCTTGCCCCTTACACAGGTCAGTGCAAGGTCCACGGGGCAGTCTACACAAAAATATTTTGCTGGAGTATGATTTCAGAGGGGAGCTGACCTGCTTGCTTTACTGAGAGCTTTTTGACCTTTTGAAATCCAGTAAGAAAGAAACAATTTGGTTTCTTTATCATTTTCAAACCAAGATGTTCTAAATTACATTTTTTTTTTTGCTGGGGCTTTAGATAAAGAGTAAGGAGTGGCATGGCAAGGAAGAAAAAAAAATTAATAATTTCAAGCTGTCATCCTGTTGAGAGAGAAATCCAGGCGGGGGAACCTAAAAGGGAAAAATTGAAGCTGTTTGGTCTTTAAACCTGTTTATTTTTAAATAGCAGGACTATTTCAAATTGTTGTAGACTTAACTGAGATAATGTGGAAATGAGCACTAAGCAAAAGTCACTCAACAAAGACAAGTTCCAACCAAGAGATGTTTTATTGATGAGGCAAAACACTTGTGAACATAGGTATTTTTTTAAATAAAGAAGATAGCAGATCTTTGTGTAAAACAAATGCAGCTGTGATATTATAGTACTTATGCCTTTGGTAGAGCTAATAAGAGTCAAAGGGCCTACAACTAAAGCAGGTAAATGTGAATCAGTTTGCTCTACTGAGAAATATCAGCTCCGTCTCACAGATCCTCCATGTGTGGAGCTCAGACGGGCTTTCTGCTCATAAAGCACCTACAAATTGTTCCCCTCCACAACCAAGAAGCAGCACTTGAGAAGCAGAGAGGTTATTTCCAGTCTAGGGGGTATAGTCCTTGCAAACACCAGAACATGCCCTAGGGAAGGTGTGGATGTTGGGAGAGGAGATGAAGACCTCTTGCTTACAAAAGTTGACGTATACTAGTTTCCCCAGTAGGTAACACTGTAAAGCCAAATGCCAGGGCAAGTTGAGAGGTAGTGGGGTCACCCCAGCCCCAGGCCCAGCCTAGCCATGCAGCAGGGGTTGGAGCCTAGCCATGTAGCCACCACCACAACTGCACGGTTGAGCCAGGCCAGAGCCACACCTGATGGTAAGCGGAGGGAGGTGGATGGGGAAAAGGGAACTAGAGGCTGCAAAGGGCAGGTGGGGGCAGGAGGCAGTGGCTTCTCTGGATTTAACTCTGGCCCCAAGTCTGGGTCGGGGTCAGGATTGGGGCCAGAGCCAGATCCAGAGCCAGAGCTGCAGCAGCTGCCTGGTCGCCTCCCCTTTCCCCACTCCTTCCTGCACTCAAATCCAAGACAAGGGGCTTTCCCCCCCTTCTGTTGAGGGAGGGTAACATCATCTGAGATTTGAGTAAATGCAGCATCTGTACTGGTGTCATGCATGGCAGCAAATATAGTGTTATGCTCCTGAATTTCTTGTTTAACGGTTCATAGGACTGTATTCTTTTGCTCTGGTGGATAATGTGGGAGCACTGCAAGGTAATGTTGTAGCAGTGTCTCCACATGGTTTTACTGAGAATTGACAATCCAAGATGAAGTCCAAGGAGCTTCAATTCCCACTGAGTTCAATGAGAATTTGTAGGTGGGTCAGCACCTCAGATAATCTAGTCTCTCACGGGTACACATCTTTAATAAAATGGCTGTTAGTTATTAGCTTTCTCTTTATTTGCATGTAATGAAAGATTTATCAAATGCCCCTGGAGAATTGTAGGGTCTCACTGTCCTTCGTTTTGTATCCATATCACTTCTCTGGAGTTTCTTCTAATTTGAAAGGAGTATTGGGCTCCAAGATTTTCCAAAGTGTCTGGATTAATGTGCTTTCCAGTATTATTGCTGCTACTTCTCTGTGTGCTTTCTTTTTGATAAATGCACACTTTGGTGCTTTTGGCTGAACTGGTGATTGGATGTGTACTCAGTATTCAGAGATTCTTCTGCTTTTTCCAGAGACTATACAAAGAGCATGGAGAGAGCATAAAACATCATTATACACCTACAGTAGATCTTCCTGAAGTCCTTCAAGCTAAATTAAATGCTATGAATATCAGTGAGGTAAGAATGTCAAAATTCAGCCCTTAACATTTTGGTGGAAAGTGAAAAAATTAAGCGAGTTCTTTGCCAATTATACAAAACTATACATCATGGGAAATTCCCTTCCTGTCCTCCCCATATGATCATTTAGGGCTTCAAAATAAAGTAGTGAATCAAACCTGAAGAAGTGAGACCCCCTAGAAAGATCAAGAATGAACTACCAAGGAAATCATGAATGCCTCTGTTACTAAGACTTGTGTTCTGGTTTATATTTGTGTTGTACTGGTAGCTTTACTTCAGTGAGGCCCATCTGCTGGAATAAAAAGAAGCAAATACAATAATGCTTCTCTAATAACAACAAAGATGCAACAGTAATTTTCAGAGCAGTAAATTCATTTTGATTTGTTCAATATTTCCAAACAGATTCACTACAAGGAATCTTGGAGCAAGATGAAAGATGGTGGATATAAATTGAAATTGGATGCCATTCCTTTCCAGGCAGCAAAAGCTTCAAGTGAAATCATAAGTGATGTAAGTGAATTTTCTACTAATATTTTCCAGTAGAAAGTACTAGTACTTAAGCCTGTTTTGGCTATGCCGAGTGAGTGCTTAGGGAAATGGTATGTCCATCTGGCACTATGGCTGAGAAGGATCCGTTCGACCTTTGACGGTGCTTTTGAGACTGCAGACCCAAGAGGTTGTATCGGTGACTGCGTGTTTAATGTGACAAAAACTCACAAGAAGCTATACTGATATAACCAGCTCAGTATAGGCTATTGAAGAGTCAAATCAGATAGCTAATGACTTAGTCATGTTCTATCTAGGTCAGATATGAAGCAGAACTCTCTAGTTAATAGGTTTCAGAATTCAACATTAATCTTTTGAATAACTTGGTACCTTGAAGCTGAATTTTTCAGGAAAAAATAGGTATAGCAGACTTCATTGGTATAAGAGACAGTAGCAGCGTAAAGTTTTAAATAGAAATACAGTAGGAACGAACATCAATCCAACAACCAAGATAAAGCCTCATAATATAAGAGCTTGCAATAAGATTAAGTCTTCTTCGCAGCTTTCTGCATTTTTATATCCTTTTGTAGCTTCTTCTAAATTGGTTAAAATACCTAAAATACCTAGGCACTGATAAGGAGCTCTTAGCATGCTTAAAGACTTATTACTTTTCCATCTCTTAACACTTGGCATGGCATAATACATCTTAGCAAGTGAAATCAGAATTCATCATCCAAAGATAGCCTTCTGTTGCATAAGGAAGACCCTTGTCTGCCTGTGTCCTTAGACCAACACAGCTACAACCTGCACCCCTGAAAAAGAACAAACTTTTGGAGCATGTCAACATTTTTTTTCTTTCCTATCATTCATACAATTATTATTATTTTTTTCAAAAAAAGACAATCTTGACTGGTACTTACCTCTCTTTTTTACCTGTCCTTTATCACATGTCTGTTATTTTTCCCTTTCCAGTACAAGTACAAGGAGGCATTTGAGAAAATGAAGGGGCAGATGTTTGGCTCGCGTGGCTTGGAAGGTGATCTTAACATTGCCCACTCAGTGCATGCCGCTTTGCTACAAAGCGACGTAAGTACAGGGAAATGGCAATGCCTGTCTAATAACGACACATCAGCATAGACAGTGGGTGTTACTCTGGATAGGTTTCTTGGCATGATACCTTGATACCCAAAGCTTGCTTTGCATTGGGCCACTCCAATAATTACATAATGATTATTCTTTTTTATTAAATACAGTACCAGTCCTTAGAGTAAAACAGCTCTATGCTGTATTTTTGCTCAAGCTTCCAATTCTGACAACGATTTCAAGGTATTCTGTGGCTATATAACTAAAGGGCAATTACAAAATGATTACAAATAATTACCAGCTGTTTTCCACTTCCTATTCTTCCCAAAAGCTGTATGTCAAATGCACTTACACGGTTTTATGCTGTTTATTAGTCATACAAGCAGGTACCGAATATTGATGCCAGGTACAGCATACTGACTTCCTGAAGGATGCTGTGCATCAGCAAAACGTTTCCCTAATTTTAAGCACGTGAATAATCCCACTGAAGTTCACAAGACCATTTCGACGGTTATACGTACGTGGGGAGAAACCTAATTCTACACCTAGTGTTTTTCCTCATTTGTTGTAAAGCCCACTATTGCTATTAGTTGTAATGACCTAGGAACTTAAATACTCAGTTTCTAGTAAATGACAGTGATAATTTACTAGAATAACTGGCTCTGCCACCTGTTAAATAGCTTTAAAACATTTTGATATGTTTAAAGTGGATGTGTATCTGAACCTCTCAAATCAGCATAAATAATAGGAAACTTCAGGCATACAAACTTTGAAGGATCCTAGCACTTCAGCTACATTTTCATGGCCAGAACCAATTAGTGTAAAGAGAAGGATGGAAATAAACTTAACGCAGTTGTTGGCCTTTACCATTTTTTAAAACTTCAAAGGTATTTTGGGTGAAGATCTGACTTGCTTTTCATTTTCCCCCAAATGGTTCAAACGTTGCCATTTGGTTTTTATTATCGTGTGACGGTTCCAAGGTTTCTGTGGAGGCTTGTAAAATTACTACAAATCATATTTGTGAAAATATAATTAACTAAGAGTTCAACTGTGTGATTTCTAGGTTTGCATATAAATGAATTGCTTAGCCGTAATTGTATTCAGCTTTAACTGGAATATAAAGACAGGTGAAATCTCAGTTGTTTAAATAGTTCTCTGTGAGCAACACTTGAATTTTAAACTGTCCAGGAGCCTATAAAGTAAACTGGTCTTTTTTGCTTTACTAGGTAAAATACAGGCAAGGTTCTGAGCATAGAAAAGCCCAGTTCCATCTGCCACTGGATATGATAAACTTAGTCCATGCCAGGAAAGCCCAATCTTTGGTCAGTGATCTGGAATACAGACAGCTGCTTCACCAGTACACTTCCCTGACTGATGATTTGAGATTACAGTGTGCCAAGAAAGCATCTAAACTACAGAGTGAGGTACTGCATTCAGCCCGGTGTCACTGCCACCTGACACAGGCTACTTTTATTCTGTACTATTATAGCTATGCATATCTATTTGAACAGCACCTGTAAGATAAATAATGACTGCTTCCCCTTGATTACACCGAATGAGGAAACATCTGTCTTATAAGGGTGATTGTACAGTGTATATTTACACCTTATATTACTTCTCGTTACAGTTTTGTTTGATAACTGGGCAGCACGGGTGTTACAAGTGGGAAGCAGTCTACCAGCAGGTGTTTAGACTCTGTTGACTGTACAGACTTTTGCTGCAGGATTTGCTATGCATGCAAAAGCTATCAGTTCATATCTTGGAAGAAGCCTGTATCCAGTTTTTTAAAATGTCATTGTTAAAAAACCTGTGATCTGGAGGTCCTGCAGCTCAGAAATACCCTTGGCACTGCCTGTGCAAGCAAAAATGCTCCTGTAGGTCAGCTCAGCCCCTTGGAGAGTCTTGAGGTGTGACTGGGTGGTTTTGTGCCCTTGGTGGTGGCTGCAGGTGGGACAGCAACAGTGACCGTGGCAGCCACTGTTTCCGCGCTCCCTCCCCTCCAAGTTGGGACTTGGGGCTAGTGCCCTGTTCCCCACTGGCTTCCCCTGCATGGTTGCACTATTGATAGGATCACTTGTATTTCACTTTTTCAGGGATCTAAGCAGGGTGCAATAAGATTTCACTTAGGCACCCAAATCCACAAAGACGCCTGATAAGTGGAATAAGGCCTGGCCCACAGAGACAGTCACAATCAACTTAGTGTAAAGTACATAACGTCTCTGTAGTAGATACTACTTCTAATGGATTTATTTAAATAATCTCCTTGTGTAATTTTTTTGATGAATAATTACAGGACAGCTCAAATGCAAACTTGTAATTGCTTTTGCTTGGATTCTCAAAGAATTTATACAGGTCTGACATGAACTTTATGAGAGGAGTTGGCTGTATTACTCCAGGGGCCTTAGAAATTGAAGGGAAGAAGAAAGCTTCTGAACTCATCAGTGAGGTAACAAAAGAGGGTTTTGATTTCTCCACTACAAACAAGAGTTTGCCAGATGTCTTTCTATTAAACTGGGTTGGCAAACTGACTTACTGGATTAATGCAAGGCTTCCTCCCCTTTGTTTGATCAATCCATTCAGGCGCTCACTACAGATAAGTGAACCTGATGAAGTTCAAGGTTTTGTACACTTTGCTAAGTGTTTACACAACCCTTTTTCTCCTGCGTTTCAACCCCATGTGGTTGGCATTTTAAAGTGGTTTATTTTATGTTAGAAGCCTGCCTTTCCAGCTTAAAGGGTGCCTGGACACTGTTAGGTATACAGTAATGTCCCCTAAAAGCTAGGCTGGCACACCAGACTCCAAAGCAAATCACAAACCCTACTTGCACACTGCTTCACCTGTGTGCAAATAGCTTTGAAATGACGTAAAATGAATTTGCCCATCTCTGATGATCGGACCCTTTGGAATTGGGTCTGGCATTTGCTCGCAGTTCCCATGTAGCTTTTAAAGGCAAGTGAAACTGTAACTTTTCCTAAGAATTAACAGCAAAAGTTGCAGTCGACAGAGTCCATGTTAGGAATGTCCAGATTTCACCCATCAGTGCCAGGTTTCATAAAGGAGGAACAATCTATTTTTTGTGTTCGGAATAGGAGAACACTTTCTGAAACCATACATTGTTCCAATTTTATACCTCGTTTTCAGTAATGAACCGTGAATCCAGTAGGATCATGAGAGCAAGAGGTGAACTGGCCTAATGGTTAATAGATAATTATCCCTTTTCAAAGCATGGCTTTAAGCATGAGAAGTAACACCAAAGCATTAGGGAGACAGGTCCCTTATCTGACAAGACAACTTAGCAATTCTGTTCATTTTTCTTTGTGTGTGAACTCAGAGTAAATATCGTCAGCAGCCACATTCCTTCAAGTACACATCGGTGACAGACTCTCCTGGCCTCCTTCATGCAAAATTCAGCAATATGATTGCTAATGAGGTAGGCTCTACAAGCATGAATCAGAAAATATGCTTTTTAAAATGCAATGAGCTGAGGAAGGAGTGGGAAGGAGAGAACCTCATTCTAAGAACCATGGCATATCAAGAGGAAAGAAAGCATCACTGATATGTGCTTTTGCATGGTTAATTCGCCTTTTACTGTTCCTGGACAACAATTTCATGCCGTTCGGTCAATCAGATCTCTCCTTTACAACAGCATAAGTAGCCCCCCATTTGAAGTCCTTAAATCAGTTTTCTCTACTTGAATGCAAAGAAGGCAGATACAAGGAGGATGTACTTGTGGGGATTGATTTACATACAATCACTGCTCTAAAGACCACCTAAGGCAATAACCTCTTGGCTAACTTCTGCAAAATTCCTGGGTGCCCTGTCAAATGCCATGCACGCCGACAGAAGGGAAAATCTAGATACTTCAGAAACTGAGGCTCTCTCCTCTCCTGTATTCACAGAATTTGAGATAACTTCCCAAGGTCTTTTGATCTTCTATGAACACACTGGAGTACGGCAGCATCAATTCAGGGGACAGGATCTTGGCTTGTCCTTGATATGAAAATGTATCCAGAAGTATTCCTTGCAACCTAACAAACAAAACATCTCTCATCCCTCCCCTCACCCCCCTATGCAGTCTCAGCCATTAGTGATGTTCAGTTTTGTTTTAACCAGCCATTTAAATTGTGGTCCATTGCTGTGTTATTTAAACACTGTAGAAAGGTGTTGCAGCTATTTTCTTTCGTCTCTTTTGTAGCGCCTGTATAAAGCAGCAGGAGAGAACTGTCTGCATCACTACACGCTAACCCTCGGTCTACCTGAGTTTACCCGGGCAAGAATAAATGCAGCCAACCTCAGTGACGTAAGCATTCCCTCTTTCTTAAACATGAGCGGGTATTGTGCTGAGGACTCAATAGCCTACCAGATCTAATCCGTTTCTGTTTATTATATTTGTATATTTGATCTGAAACTTTCACATCTGCATAAATAATAGGCCGTACACAGGCAGAGCTGCTATAGATAATAATAAAAAAAATCTTTGGTTGTGAAGAATAGACTGCCTAACTCTGTCCACCAAATGAAAGAAATGTTCTTTGTTTCCTTCCTCATCTGGCATTTAAAAATGAAGCTGGACTCTTACATGCACCTTTTCCACTTCAGATAAAATACAGGGAATCTTGGCATAATCTGCGTCCTCAAGGCTACAAGCTGACAATGGAAGCAATCCCTTTCCAGGCTGCCAAGGCCTCCAGAGAAATTGCCAGTGACGTGAGTTGAATGATTCAACCTTCCATCTTGCCTAATTTCTGTTAACTTCATGTAAAACAATGTCTCAGGCAGATTTTCTGAATTAAAGTGACCCTATAACCATGTGAGACAAGAATGTGGGACAGAATATATTACTTATGAATGACATCCTTTGTGTGAATTAGAAAAAGGAGTCACAGCTAAGCGGAAACCAACTTCTGTCAAATATTGTCCGGTGGGACCCAGGCAGTGACTTAAAGTATATGCATATGGGCAAGCTGGGGAAGATTCTTCCTTCTTGCTAGGATCTGAATCTCCCACATTTCAACAAAATGACCATAACGGTATAGCCACTTGCTTTTGGCATGGTTTTCAGAGTACACACGGGTCAAAATGATGCTCTGTATACCCAGCGCCTTTGAAAACCAGGTGGCAGGTGGTCTCTGAATGAGAACTGCATGTCACAATAACTTCCCAAGAATGAATGCACATTTCCCTGTTTCTTGCAATTGTCTCTCTATCACTTGCAGCACATGCCACCATTCACCTGTCAATAGCTTTAAGTACTTTCTGCTTCTGCAATGAATTAAAAAAAAATAAGCCATAAGGAATACCCCTAATCAAACTAAAATGAAATCAAAATACTTAATATTGCATAGAATTGAGCTGCATATTTTGCTACACCCAAAACAGTGCAATTTTGAAGGCTTTAAACATGTGTTTGTGCTTGTCGAAGCAACTACATTTAGTGATTACACGGTGCTCTTAGTTGCAGCTTCAGTTCTACTCTAAAAGGGTACAACTGTATAATAACATTACATCCACTTACAGCAAGACTGAATTTGGCCCTTCATCTTCAAAGCACTGTGTAAACATTAGCTACTATAATTTAATCCCCACAACTCCCTTGTGTGGTAGCTAAGTGTTATTATCCCATTTAGCCTACCTACTAAACTCTTTAGGGCCCGGACCTTTTCTTTAAAGTTTCAAGCATGTTGTTGATACTACATAAATCATCATTATCAGTCTCACTGTCATTTCACATAGAGGATAAAAGTAAGATCATAGAGAGAGCCCTAGTTAGAGCTCTGATGAAAACTCATAAGTTTCTGGTGCTTATGCCTGCACTGTGACCGCTCTCTTTGGCTTTTCTCTCAAAATAATCTTCTATCCAGGGAAAATTGTTCTTTTTCCATCTGCAGCAACTGGGTTGTGGTCAGCACAATGCTGCTCTTTTGCACAGGTTTTGTCTTATGTATCTCTTTTCACATTCCCTTTTGGTTTTTTTGAGTTAAAAACACATAAGCTGAAGTTAAACGTGTTGCGGAAGCACCTTATCGCCGTCTCCTTTTCTTTGCAGTATCAATACAAGCACACCTTTGTGACTGAGCGAGGGAAGCACATCGGTGCCAGAAGCATTCTGGATGACACCAGGTTGCTGCACTGCTTCCATGCAGCTAAGTTACAAAGTGAACAAGAGTATAAGAAAGGGTCCCAGGAATTCAGGTCTCATTACCACCTGCCCATGGATATGGTGAATCTAGTCCACGCTAGGAAGGCCCAAGCCTTAGCAAGTGATCAAGATTACAGGAAAAGACTCCATGAATACACTGTACTCCCAGAAGACATGAAGATGCAGTGGGCAAAGAAAGCCCACATGCTACAGAGCGAGGTAAATGCTTCCCTCGTGCTCACTGCCAATGCCAAAGTGACAGCGTGCTAGAATAACCTCATAGGACTGATGCAACCCCTAAAATGATGTTTTGGCTTAAATGAGCTTGTAGACGCCTGCACACACTGGTGCAAAACCTGTGATTATGTACACAAACAGGAAGCTTGAGGCACAACGTTGTCATCCTGCACAAACGTGATGGGAAGGAGGCTGCATATTCAGAGGTTAATTTTGAGTGTCGTGTTTGGACGCTGTTTTGCAAGCAGGGCCACATTTTCAGTCAACTCACTCTGGTTGTATCAGTACAAATTATCTGTTGAGAGTATGCATTCAGATTTGAATGTCTTTTTCCTTGAATAAAGGATGCTTCGTTTTACGTGGTGCTTTTGGAGCTGTATACTCCATTGTTCACATATGCCATGGAAAGATGTGTGCATAGGTGACTGCCTATATTAAGTTGCCTGTGTGCAAATAGCTATATTTTGACACTGTGGACCCAAAAGCCTTCTTTAAGTAAAAACTGCACCTCTTAATGCTCCTTAAGATGGCTTTGCGTTGCGTAAGGAAAGAGAGTCTTAAACAGTATTGGACAAATTCTTAACATGTCTTCAAGCAACTAATTTTTGTTGAACTCAGGATTTTATTGATAGATCAAATGATAGGATATTTGTTAGATTCAGCTGATCTCAATGAAGAAATATTAGTAGGCAGTCCATTTGTGAGAGTCTGAGCAGTAATCAAAGCACTGGAGACCTAGCATCCTGCTTTCTCACTCACAGTACATGCAATATAACATCCAAACTGTACTCTTCATTGCAACAAAAGGCACCTTGAAAACCCCCTATGTACTTCATCTCTTCAAATGAAAGCCAATGATCCGATTGAAAGATCCCTGTTGGGTTTTTCTCTGTGTGTTTTAAATGTATCCAATTGTCTTTGTTCTTTGTCAGAGTGGAAAGAAAGCAAAAGTTTTGCCAGTGAAAACTCCAGACTCCCAAAATAAAAAACGAACCATTGGCATGGGGCTTAGCAATGTGGTGGGGGGAGCTAGCCATGTCTCTCTGCACTGCTTTGACAGCACAGGTGTTAACAACTAGAGATCACATGGGGAGAAAAACAGGCTTTGTCAACTTCCCATGGGTGGATATGGATCAAAGTGCTGTCCTTTGCAGTACAGGAAGATAATGTTCCTGTTGTCTCAGCTCTGTGTCCTTACCGGGAAACTGCCATTGAAACTCTTAGTTTGCCTGGTAAGGATTGAGTAAACTATGAATAAGGACCTCAGGATTTGGCTCTGTGTAATTAGAGACGTTGTAAGTAATCCATAGAAAGACTTTACAAGGCATGTCACTCAGATGAGTCAAACGCCGTATTGCAAGAATCAAGCACAGAGATTTGCAGCCAGGGTGCTGCCCGATCTTTTGAAGGGTGCTGTCAGATCTTAGGAGATAAGGAGCTCAACTAAGCAGATAAGTGCAGGCTCAGGTTTGTCCCCCATTTTGACTGCCAGGCCCTTCTGCAAGGAGGTAAGCACTGTAATCTGCCAATTAATTTTTGAAATTCGAGGCCACTCATTTCACAAAAGTTACAGAGGAGCCTCTCGGGTCTATTGAAGGGTGCTGCAAAACCACAAAGCTAGAATTGCTGATCTAGGATGGAGATTCGTGGCCCATCTGCCATCTAGCAGGAATAACATTTTGCAGCTGAAGAGCCTAGATAAGTCTGCAGCACTCCTTTGAATGAAAAAACTGTGATTCCCATCCTATACCAGGGGATTTGTGGTACACAACATTTAAGTAAATTGGCTAAGGCCCTGCACTGCCAGTCTGAAACAAAACCCAGGGAGGTTGGTTCACATCCCCCCTGCTACAGCCACTGGGACTGATCTGTGCCCTCCCATTTCTCTTGTCTAGTGTGAAACTTAGATCATGGCTCTGCACAATGTAGAGCAGAATGCCGCTGTCATCTCAGAAAGAGGGGTTAATGAGAAAACGAGGGCCGGATAAAATAATTAGTATTCTTGAGTTGAACCTACCTCAGAAAATGATTTTAAAAAGGGCTCTTTTACGCCCAGTACAAACAGGTTATTACTTTCTGCTTTGAGTCATGCTAATTCACTTGTGGGGCCTTCTCTTGTAACTTGCATATGATACATTATTTAATTCCTGGTGGAACGAACAAATGCAAACAGTTTGGCTTTATGATGTGATAGATGCATGGCAAATGAAAAAGCTGAGCCGCTAATATGAATCAGGGAGCCTTTTTAATAAACCCTAATAGCTGTGGATGCAAAACTGATAAAAGCTAACAAATTTCGTTTTTAACAGTACCGCTATAAATCAGACCTGAACTTCATGAAAGGAGTTGGTTGGATGGCTCTGAGATCTCCGCAGATAGAAACTGTAAAGAAGGCTGGCGAGCTCATCAGCGAGGTACTGATAAATCTTTCATGGGGTAGCACGTCTGTAGGAATTGTTTACCATCAAGGCTCCTCGTTACATGACACTTACGAATGTTGCTGATCGTTTCCTTTTGATGTGGGAGCCTGTTTATACAACGTGCAAGTTACCGCGAAGTGGCACGGGAGATGCAAGTCCACTTGTGACACCCACTGCATATTTCCTATTCAAAATGAACTGAAACTCTAAAAAACCCCCACCAGGTAGCAATAAATAAATGTAGTCAACGCTGTTATGGTATACTAAGCAGGCGATCTTTGGTTTTTTAAACCGCATCATGCTTTTAGGCATAGCAGTGGCAGTCAGGTTGGATGGTGGATTCACTCAGTCTGTAGCACCGACTATTTGAGAAAAATTGTGTATCGATCCTAATTACCGTTACTGAGATCTGTTGACATGATTTTTTTAGTGCAAAGTCCGGTTTGCAGAGACGTATTTGAACCCCACTTGCCATCATTAAAATAGTGGCTGAAGCTAACGTGAAATAATGTTGTTTTTAACACCATTGCCTCATCACGAGGGTTTTTCTTGTTTGCGTTGTTCTCGCTGTCCCACATATGTGACCCGTATGCATCCCCTAACAGAAATCTCCTGCTTTTTCACATGCAGACAAGGTACCGTCAGAAGCCAGACAGCCTGAAGTTCACTACAGTGGTGGACTCACCCGATCTGATCCATGCCAAGCACAGCTACATCCAGTGCAGCGATGTATGTTTTATTTGACTTTAACTGATGTTAACTTGTCTTTAATGCTGCTCCCAGTTCTCCAGTAACGCTAGATACTTTTTGATTTGACAGAGACTGTACAGATCTGGAGACTCTGAAGCACGGCACAGATACACCTTACCTCCCGACCACCCAGATTTCATAAGAGCCCGTCTGAATGCTCTTCATATCAGTGATGTAAGTGACAGATCCTTTTAAGTTTAGGTGATTGAATTAAGAGAAAACGGGGCAGCATAACAGGGATCAGAAGTGAACAATCAAGGTGCTCTGGTCAACCCAAACGAAAATGAGAGAAATGGGCCTCAGACAACAGGCACAGATCTGTCAGGAGATGGTTTAGCAGACAGGACAATTTTATGGACCAGAGAATGGGTTTTCTCTTCCCTTTCAGAAGCAGTCTGGTTACTAGACACATTAAAAACAAATCAGCTTTGGAAAAAATGATCCTGCTCTCTTTCAGTCTAGTCTTCCTCTTCATAAGGTGGCCTTCAGTCTGTGTAAGACTGATGCACCTGAGTGCACCACGTAGAAACGTGGCCCCACATCTACTCCCACTGTGCCCAGGCTAAACCTGGAAATGAGGTAGTGCAGAGGCAATCCTGCCACTGCTTTCTGTCTTCAGTGTGCAGGAGAGTGCGGCGTGCCAGCAGGATGGCTTAGCCACTTTATTTCAGAGTTTGGTATATCCAGAACCAGAGTGGTGAATGGGACCATGCTTCTCCAGAGCACACTCAGACATGCCTTGTGTCCTGAATCGGTCCTTCAAGCCCTTGGCTATTTTGTATGAGCAGCTTTATCCCTCAAATGATGCTGGCTAAATGGATTGTGTCTAGGCATTATGGGCAGTATTGTGTCCTAATGCCCTGCATGATTATACAGCCCCTAGAAGGAGAGAAGAGATCCTTAGGTGCGGATTAGTTTGCATGGTGCTTTGGGGTCTTTGCTGGGTGCTGTGTGAATGTGAGATGTTGTTTGTTTTATTAATTGAAGCCGTAATAGAGACAGCTGGGTTAAACTATAGAAAGGCTATCTGGCTGGAAGGCCAATTAAAGAGTTACAGAAGTGCACCCCTTCTTATCTACAATAATTGGGAGGAAGTGCTGCCAATTTGGAAATGTTCTCACTCAGGGCTGAGCAAAAAAGTGAGAGAGATCCACTGCAGCTGGATCAGAATTGCCTTGTCCTGACAAATCACACGTTGTCAGGCCTGCATGTAACATTTCTTCTCCAGACACTAATGTGGATCAGTCTGTGTTTGAACTCACGCTGCATGGGGATACGGAGATCGTGGGAGTCTCTCATTAAACATCAAATTGTTTGTGGTTTATACCCAATTGATTCAAGTATTGCAGATGGGAGGCTGTTGAGGCAGACTGACCTTACAGCGCACAAAAAGGCACGGCTATTTTAAAGCTGTGGAGATAAGTACAAATCCAATGAATATAATGTGTGAGGATGAGGACAAAACTATTCACATTGAGAGAGAGGAGGATGGTGCATGGGGTTCCAAATCAAAGGATCTCTGTCATATAAAGACTCACAGTTTCACAGTAAAAAGCTTTGACAGGTTAAGAAAAAAGAAAGGATGACAGGAAAAGACCGATAGCTGTATCCAGCTGATAGCAAACAGCACAACCTGAGAGTTATTCAATACAAATGGGCCACTTGCGGGAAACACTCACCCTGTTCACATTTCCTTGGGAGGTTTGATAGACCCCAGGCTAGTAACGACCCATGGGTACCGTGCTCTGAAGATATTTGAGTAAAAGGAATTGGTGGTCTCAGTCCAGTCCGAGTGGTCTGCACCTAAAAAGGACGGTCCCAGTTTCCACTAGTTAGCATCCTTGTCCGAATCCTTCACAGAGAAGCAAAGAGCCGAGTGAGCATAGAACAGGGGTGGGCAAAATGCGGCCCAGGGGCCAGATGCAGCCCGCCAGGCCATTCTATCCAGCCTGCGAGGCCCCTAAAAAATTTAGAAAATTAATATTTATCTGCCCCTGGCTGCCTGTCATGCAGCCCTCGATGGCTTGCCAAAACTCAGTAAGCGGCCCTCTGCCCAAAACAATTGCCCGCCCCGGCATAGAGGCTGAGCCAAGACTACGGCCCCTCTGGATGGCCAGCCATTCAAGTTTGCACCGCTGCTACCCATGCTGCACCTGTTCTATCGGTACCTACAGGCCTTGAAGCTTCTTCACTTGTCACAAGTATCAAATTCACTTACAAAAAATAAGTCCTATACAAATGTCTGTTAGAATCTGAAATTGATGTTGGCCCAGTGTTCAGATGGCAGCGTACGTTAGAAAAACTAGACTAGAGATTCACAGGGAGCAGGTGAATGAAATCAGAAGAGGAAGAACCGAAGTGCCACCTGAGATTTAAAGTAATCAGATCTAGTGATTATGTAGTTCGTACAGAGGCTCTGACAATAGATCGCATCCACCCTGGAAGCCATCACAAAAATGCCACTGTGGAAGGCAGCCAGATGTAGAGCACGCTCTGCAACATGAGCATGCACTTCACATCCTCACAGTCACACCCAATATGTTACAGGCTGTTGTTATACTAGATGAGTTAATGAAACCACGTGTGGCACAGGACTGAAACAGCGAAGCTTGAAAAAGCTGCTTACAAAACCTCAAGGCACTGAGACTCTGATGCCAGGAAACCCAAGGCACTGCAAGCGGATGTATTGTAAGACAGAATAAGGGCAATACAGATGCAATATTGATGTAGCTGATGCCTCACAGTTTCTAATACAAACTAAATAAAACCAAAGCCAATCCACATGCAAATGCCAAGAGCATCCTGGGGCGCGAATGCAAGCAGGAGAGATTTCATCATTATGGTTAGCACAAAAGAAACCGAAGTGCTATGGAACCTGATTGCAAATCTTTGGAGCTTGTCAGGATGAATCCAGAGTGAAAAGAACCCCGTAGAATAAAACATTTGTTACTGCAGCTACCAAACTAGGTTTAGGAGACAGGGGAAATGACTGTTGTCTCTTTTTTTTAACACAGAAAATGTATAAAACATCTTGGGAACAAACAAGGGCATTTGGCTACGATTTTAGGTTGGATGCCATCCCATTCCAGACAGCTAAAGCTTCAAGAGACATCGCCAGTGATGTAAGTAAAGTTAAGAAAGGACAAGATAAAAAAGCCCATTAAGCCTTGACATAGAGGCTGGTTCTTGCAGATGAGTTTGGGAGAGGTGGTGGGGGGGCATATGCTTTTGCAGAACTACCTATTTGGACTCCTGTTAGCAATATGAGGTATTTGACACGTTTAGTTTCGTAGGACATTTTTGGGGAGAAGTATGCTTATGATGAAATAGTACTGTAAATTTGGTGCCAGATTAGTTATAACAGCAGGTTTGGCGAGACTGATTCTTAAATGGCTCACCTCTGAACATACGAGAGTATAATAATAATAAAAAAAGAGAAGTGCTGCAACTTCAGTCATTTATCAACAAATAACTCAGGGGAGCATCTACAGTCCTGGATATAAGGACCGATCTTGAATTAGCTGAGGTGTTGGACTGGATGACTTTGCAGAGCTGTTCTTTTTCTATGACAGTTATTGAGGATCTTAATTTCCAGTGGTTAAACATTTGTACTGTAATTAAAGGATTTGTTAAGAGAGACAGAATCACTTGGTCTCTACGTATAGATAAAAGTCTGTGCCTGCGGAAAGAAAGAGCTATTGATAGGGAAGGGTGAAATTATAACAAAGATACTTGAAGAGCATTTCTCCCTGGAATTTGAACCTGTTTCCCTCACTCCCTGCAGTTCAGGTACAAAGAAGCCTTCCTGAGGGATAAAGGCCAACAGGTCGGCTTCCGCAGCGTGAACGATGATCCCAAAATGAGACACGGCATCAGGGTGGGAAAGCTCCAGAGTGACACCCAGTACAGGAGGGAGTTCGCCCAAAACAGGGCACAGTTCAAGAGTCACATGAATCAGCCGGGCTTCCTCCACGCTAAGAAAAGTCAGCAGCTGGCCAGCAACATTAGCTACAAGCAGCCTCTGCACCAATACACCTGTGATCCTGAGCAGCTGAACGTGAAGCATGCAAAACAGGCTTACAAACTCCAGAGTGATGTAAGTATATTTGATGTCCGGCCAAGACTACCACATTGCCCCGGCAGTCGTGGAGGTCAGAGAAAGCATGAGGTCAAAGAAATGTTGCAAGCACTTCCAGTTCAGTGGATTCTTTATTTCACGTATGCTAAATAAATGCTTATGTGATACTCACATGATGCACCCTGCCTCTCTCTGAGAGCAGCAGGAGCACTGGATAATAGGAGATGTAGTCCAGCTAGAGAAGGTGTTGTTATCCTAGATGAGCTAAGGAAACCGCGTATGGCATAGGCCTGAAACAGACCCCCCAGGGCAGGGGGTCGGACTCGATGATCTAATAGATCCCTTCCAACCTGAACATCTATGAAACATCTATGAAACTGTGAGGAAGAATGGGAGCATTAGCCCTTCAGAGCACCCCGCAGGAGGGAAATACGTTTGGTAAAGTTACTGTTTGATGGTTATGGAAATTGGTGCACTGAAAAGCCTGTAAATTGGCAACTTTTCCATGGATGCTGCTTTCTTCTGCCTCTTTTATAAAATTCACTAGAATGAATCATGCCAAAGTTGTAGCCTTAGCGGTGGCAACGCTTGGCAATTTGACTTGTAGACAAGACCCCTCCCGGATTAAAACGCCACATACTTTCATTTTGGTTCAGATCCCATGGTGCTTGATTCGTATTGCATCCGAAGCCTGAGCTGCGTGACCTAACTAGAGCTAGACCAAATAACACTCAATATCTGATTTTTTTCCAGGTCAAATACAAGTCGGACCTGAAGTGGATCAAAGGCATTGGCTGGACACCCCCAGGCTCTTACAAGGTTGAAATGGCCAGAAGGGCCGCTGAACTGGCGTATGCTCGGGGACTTGAACCTCAGGGGGCTTCTGCTCAATATGAACTTGGAGCCGTAAGTGCCCTTCTCACCAAACCTCTGGTACAGCACTGTCCCTGAGAAGGGAGTGAGCTGCTCCTTCGGCCTGGTACTGGTGACAGCTGCCAGACTGAAGTCCTGGGGACTGCACGGCTTCTACCAAACTGAGCAATGGGGGCAGTTCATGCTTCCCCCAAGCAGCCTTAGGACCGTCTCAGCCCTGATCTCGAAGCAGCCCCATTAGGGAGGAAAGCAGCATTCACTCCACACAGTTCAACTTCCTGCGGAAGCACCACAGGGAAGGGTTTGATTCCTCCGTAGGATGCGGAGAGGGTTTTACCCCTTAATCTTTAGCTGTCCTTAGCTTTAAAGGGATTCGGGGAGCCCCACAGAGAGCAGAAGCACCTTCTGCACAGCTTCCCTCATTGTCTTAGGCACAGGGCATACAGCATATTCATTTTAGCAGCACTTCTGACCTCAGCAGAGGGTTATATGGGCATCAGGATAACATTCCTCCTTCTCCAACAGGCTTGTGGTTTGAATATCTCTCCAGGACATGGAAAACCTTGGCTCTAGGCCCCTGCCCTGCTTCTTAAATAGTCCAATGGTTATGGGTTCTTGCCCAGAACCTGCGAGACCTCAATGCTGTGCCCTCAAATAGTCAGGGGAGGTGAACTGAAATGTGGGTTTCTCAGGTATCCCCAGCCCCCACATAGGTACCTTTACCACGAGGCTGCTGAGCACAAGATAGGTACTACTGTAATTTCAATTAAGTACCAATTCCTTCCTACTCATGGTTTTTGGCCATCTACACTTTGGGTGGTTTATGCAGCACAGCTGTATATTCATAGCGAAGCTGAATCCCAATGGGATGTAAATGGAGTTAGACGCTTGTTCAACAGGGACAACTTAGTTGTGTAGGTGCAAAAGGCATTTAGCCACGTGTGTAAAATTCAGGCTTACATGAGATGAAGCAGAACGTCACTGGGTGACTTAGACACCTAAAAACTGTGTAGGAATCACACTTAGTAACAGGGAATGAAAAAGTCTGCTCCATACTACCATGGAAAGTCATTTATCAGCTATATCAGAAGTCCCCAAGGAATAGACAGCAGTCGCATTATAATTGTTGGACGTGGGTGGGGACGGTTACACCCTTAGTCCAATCCCTTCTCCAGAGCTGCAAAGGTCTGATGCCAACAGCTGCCAGATGGAGACTCTCTCAAGTTTCCTAGCCTGGCATATCCCACAGCACCACCTAGCCAGGGCAAATATGCTCTCGGCATGGCCCCCAGACACTATTCAGCCCTATGCCAAGCATCAAAAAACGGCCATGTTAAAAGAAACAAGTATGCAAATACGAATGCAAAGTTTCTTTCTGACAATAGGAAAAATACAAACCGGCCCAAGAAAAATATAACACATCTCCAGCTACAAAGTTGATGAGAGCAAGGAATGATAACTGTATTTCATGCATGAAGCAGTGAGCATCGATTGTGCGCTGTATGTTTTAAGCCCCCCACATGGGAAGCCTTTGGCAACATCATCAGTCTAGAATAAGCAGGTTGCTTGGCCGCTTGCTGCTTACAGAGGGGGGTGAGTTAGGAACGGGTCAGGTTAGCCGTTTGTACATATTCAAGGGCAGGGGTTTGGCCCACGTGCCACAACAATGCATGTTTTGCTTATTTTGTGTCAGACACCTTTTTTTTTTTTTAATTAATATTTTTCACTGAACAACCGAACAATGACAGCGACCTCCTTTTCACTGCCTCTTCCTCTTGGTTTGCTTTGGTTTTGCAGGATGAGGCAGAGACGGAAGGAGCGCAGCAGCCTGGAGTCAACCCTGATGCATCAGAGATTCTGCAATTCAAGCGGAGGAAAATGCAGCCGGTGAGGAAGTAAAACTGAGGATTCAAATGAAATGTTTTGATCTTTTAGTTTGCCCTGCAAATTCTGTTGCTTTCTTGAGGAGCACAATAGATGCCATCTAAGATATGTTTTGTTGTTTTAAACCCCCCCCCAAACCCTTACCAGTTAATATTGATCTTTATATTTTTGTGTGGATACTTTAAGAGATTTATAACTGAACATATTGTAGTCTGGTATTTATTGATGTTGTGAATGAAATCAGTACTAGATGTCTGGCAGGCTCAGCTTTGTACTAAAGATGAATGAACCCTGATTTGTAGAATGTAACACATTTGTATTGAATAAATCAAACAAATCTGTTTCCATAAATGATGCTTCTGGATATTTGGAGGGGAGTACTTGGTTCACTGCTACCCTTGATTTGAAAAGACATACACAACAACGGGATTTAAATGCATTGGTAGAGGACAAAGCAGTGGCAGGACAGATGATAGCCCTCATTTACTTGCTTTACCTGGGGCATGTTCGGGTGTCTTTCATGTGCTCAGGCACTGGTGTCGGGTTGTTTGTGCAGTTTTAAGAACAGATGAACAAACATTTGATGGCTTAGTTTGGGATGGTCCTGCCTTGAACAGGGTTTGGACTCGATGACCTCCTGAAGTCCTTTCCATCCCTACTTTTCTATGTTTCGATGAAGGCAAGGGCTGATGAAAGCGGAAGTTAGCATTGACTAATGGGGTTATACGCTTTAATGGACTTCAGAGGAGTTCTGCATGATTTAGAGAGATCACGGTCTTATATTCAAGTTATATTCTGTTGTAAATAACTGAAGAAGTTTGTTAGAAATTACTAGGAATAGCTATCGCTGCATTATGGGGCCGTTTGTGGCATGGGATGTAGAGCCATGAAAAACCTGATGAGGAATCCCAGACAAGAGTGATGTTGCTAAGCTGATCGTATTCATGGTTCGCATCAAACCTTAAGAGCTTCAATTACCACCTAAATATCACATGCTTTGTTACGGATCACCATCTTGGATATTTTTTCAAGATCATAAAGTCCATAAAGTTCTTCTCTAGCTAACAAAGAGCAGGAGGAAAAGGAGGAAATACATTTTTTTATTTCCTCAAGCTTATCATTAGCCTTCCAGAAGATACCTCTCAGTAGTGTGAACTGGACCTGGGCTGAATTTTCGAATTAATCCATCTGAGAAATGTTGTCACTCGGGTATAAACTCCTGGTTTTTCTTTTAGCCCACACAGATCACCCCAGCTCACAATGCCATAGACATAGTAGGAACCATCTTGTACACATGTAAGAGGTCCTCCAGAATCTCCCTAATGAGGAAAAAATAAAAGACATTACTAGGTTGGCTAATATACAAGAAAATACTGACCAAAAGTAGAATTTCTCTCCCAAACAAAAGAAAACAGATGTCTTTGACAATATTATTTCTTATGGATAGGCCAAGCACATATTGTTCAGATCCTTAGCAGGTTTTTACAATGACACTGAAATCAGAGTGTCCTGAGGAAGCGCACTCAGATAGAAATAAGGTGTCCAACAGCTCTCCCAACTTATAAAGACAGTCCAATAAAAGAGATCACAGAAATCCTTCCCTCATCGAGATCTCACAAACTCTTCTCTTGCAAAATGTTGGCTCATGACGGCAGCAATTTCACACACGTAAGATTTCTGCAAGCATAGCCAGTAGTTACCTGGCGTCCTAGAACTGGTCGAGATGCAAAACCATCGGGGAGGTTTAGGGTCTGGAGTCTGAACAAAAAACTAAACAGCTTATTGGCTTTCCTTTTAGGCCCATGGTTAGTTTTGTTTCTTCTATTTTGAACACCGCAGAGATGCTGAGACGGGTGTGACGAAGTGTTGCAATACGGTATGTCTGGAGTTGTTTTAGATGTTTTGTTTGAATATTAGATCTCCCGGGGATTATCAAAGTAGGAGTTGATGCCCATGGCAAAGAATCCAGTAGATTTGAGAAGAAGCGGGGAGGAAGGGCTGTGCACGACAAGTTTGGTACATTAAGGAAAACTCTGGCCGAGAACCTGAACTCCCGAACATTTGCAGCTGGACTTCTAAACTCTCCGTAGGTTTCCTTGTTTCTGATAGTGACATTAGTTTTAGGGAATATGCCTCTCTAATCACACTGAAGAAAGAAGGCAGCTGTTGTAACGCGCTGATGGGAGAAGCGGATACATATGTAGTATCCTGCCAAAGCCATTACTTCGTGCAGCCTGACGATTTGCATGATTTAAAACAACAGAGAGAGAAATTAATGTTCAAATGTGAGCAAGGCACAGACCTGACAAGAATCGACTCCCGATCGTTCAAGGTTTCCTGCACAAAACATGCTTTCATCCAGCTTGTTATTATGTGCGCTCCGTGCGTTGCACCGCTTCTGAGAAATCAGCTTCACTCGGGCATCCAGAAGCTGATGAGATTCTTCACCTACAGGATGCGGAAAATGGAGATGGTCATCTTCCTGTCCACTCATTTCAATGTTATTTTTTTTAAAAAAACACAAGCCTGTTTGGGAACGAAGTCTGGAACAGTCTCAGAAAAAAGAACGATCGTCTGAACTCATAATTCAGTTCCTGTTTAAGCCGGTAGCTTCAGCCACTGAAGTCAGTTAGAAAGTTACCTGATTATGGGCAGAGCAAGATCTACAGGACTTTGGTTCCTAGCACATACCTATGTGTTACTAATAGCATCCTCTGGCCCAGTTTTCAAGATGCTGATCACCTCTAAGTCCCATTGACTTACAGGTACTCGGCACTTCTGGACAATCAGGCTACTAGAGGTTTCAAGGAAGTTGAAAACAGAATTAAAATCACTTCACATTTACAGAGATGATTCATCATTAGGAATCTAAAGACTTAACATAGCATCGAAAGGTGGCAGCTGCTATTTCAAAGCACTATGCCTGCAGATCATTAAAGGTACTTGAAGTGGTTTGTACGTTTGCGTCTACACAAGCTACAGGAAGCATTATATTTCCTCACTGATTTCCCCAATGCTGATAATAACTATGCACAGACAGAAGACATCCAGGTATGAACATATATAGGAGTACTGATTTATTTATTATGTATAGCCCTCTCCTCCCCATTTTTTAGGAGTTCCTCGATATTTGGAGTCTTTTCTACAAATGCCTGTTAAGCTCTGATGGCTAATTCTGAAAACATGGATGCAGCTGCCTTGCGCTGATTTTAATGGGAATCACATCAGAAGGTCGAAATTGTCCTTATGAGTCATATCCAACTATATCAACCAAAAAAAACACTGGGATTCTTAACACATCCTGACTGCCACATTTTCCTTTCGCAGCTTTCCAGTAGCAAGTCAATCAGAGAAAGTGCATTGTTCAGACTATTGCCATTATTTTTAAATTTTTTTAAGCATCGTTATTTCTCCCTGCAGGATTTAACATTTCCAAGAAAGAATTTGGGTACAGCTAGTTGAATTGGAAAAGACTTGGCGTGCCGTTTTAGGTAAGTAACCAGATTCCAGATGTGGCCAGTCCAAAGCTTACCTGACTCGTTAGGCTGGACTGGCCACATCTGGAATCTCTAGTTACTTAGCTAAAACGACACGCCAAGTCTTTTACAATTTAAGTAGCTTTACCCAAATTCTTTCTTGGAAATGTTAAATCCTGCAGGAAATTTTGCAGTATTTCCTGGTTGAGTCTAGAAATGCAGCAGCTACAGTACAGCCTCTCAAATGGTACCTTCTGCTTCTGTATCAGCACAAATCCAAAACATGGAGTGGGCAGGAGGCAAACAGGAGCGGTTTCTGGACTTGCTGTGAAAAGCTTGGGTCCTAGATAGAGGCTAAAGTTATTTAAATAGAGGCTAAAGCCAACGATGATTTTCTCTAACCAGGTCTGCACATCCTTAGCTTTTAGTTAAGTTTGTTTGTACTAGGGTCTGTACTTGGATCCAGGCAATTACCTAGCAACTCCACTTATAGAGTTATTGACACCAATACAACTGAGGTTAGCTAACTAGCAAATACCACTCACCAGCTTCAGTTTCTCCCCATCCTGAGATGTGGCATTCAGTCCCATCAGGAAACGAGGAATCTGGTAAACACGCTGTTTTCACGTACTTTGTCTCCAGAGCACAATGGCCATCAAAGGGCTTCAATTTAAGCAGCGCTGTTTATAGGATAAAGCATGACTCTCTGTTAATTGTAATCCTCTTTCATCTTTGTCAGGCTATAGAGCATGGACGTGAAGTGTGAAAATGCCTGAAAAGCACTATTTGTACCTGCTGATGGATTCTGCCCTGTTTTATAATGCGGCTGCTTCTTCATGTCTCATGTTTTAATGCTCCTGTGAACCCAGGAAGTCTGTACCCAATTATGAACTGGCTTAAATGTCTGTATAAACCCTGTTCTCACCCAGGTGAAACCTGCTGACCTCAATGGGAGCAAGATCAACTGATGAGTGAAGTGTAGCTATAAAATCCCTCCCCTTGATTTGAATGAGGGGAATAGGTCCCTTCTTGCTGCAGCCCCAGAAAAGTATTTGCTATGCAATCTGTAAAGCAGTAGGAGTTTACCAATATCATTGACTGGGATGCCATTATTGTCTCTGTACAATGGATACTTAATTATCTTCTCCACGTTAAATTGTTGTTCATGGTATTCTCTTCTCTTAAGGTCTTGCTTCCCAAGGAGCACTTGCAGGTTTTCTTCTTTTAATCTACGAAGAAAGTTTTCAGCAGATCACATACAGAAATAGTCTATGCATGCCTCTATGGCTGGAGTACAAGCAGTTGAGCTGTTATCCTAGCCATCCACACCGGACTGGCATTTGGTAATTTAGTAGGATTCCAAGATTTCTTGCACCCAGCAGGCATGAACTTGCAAGGAAAATAAATCTAATACATGTTATTGAAAGCTAACTGCTACTTAGACAACCTAACGAGCTCTTCTATGGCTCTCAAGTCTCTCTTGCTCGTGCCATGCACCACTCTGGATTCCTTGGCATTTTCTTGGCTCTTCTGAAATCCCTTTCTTTCAGACACAACAAAACCTTTGCGGTCTCCCTTTAGCAGCCATTGAAGATTGTTGGAGAAAGACACTCTTATTAAGTTATTTTATTAAGGTTCTTATTAAGTTACTTATTAAGGTTCAAGTCAATTCTAGTGCATGATACAGACAAACACCTCCAGAAATGAACTACTTTCTGCAAGCTGACTACATGTGGGAAGAGGCAGGAGAGAACTGTACAGGTAACATCTTGCTTCAAGAGCTCCCAGCACATCCTTATAGCGTCCCTTAACCTCTTGCACTTAGCTGGTCTCTAGCATCTGGTTTTAATAAAAATATCCTCTCGGCTGTGCAAAAAAGAAGGACAAAGCATACAGAATCAGAATCCTCCTAAGTTTAATCCAATTTTAGAAGAATTTTAGCTCATGTATTGGATCCAGATATGGAATTTACCAATGTAGAAATATATACTGCTTTTTCCCGTCTCTCCCTCCTTCACGTACAGTCCCGTCTAAAAGGTGCTGAATACATGGTATAGCCTTGCTTACACTTAGCCTGTGTTTGATCAGGAGGTACAATCAAATCATGTTTGAATATATGCAACAAAGGTGTCAAAGGCAACCAGATTTCTTTTAAGGAGTTGTGAGAGCCAAGGTACACTAGGAAGGAAGTGGACAAAATGATTTCACAGGTGACTTTACCTAAATTTTCGATTACTTTATGAAGATGCCTGTACCTCTTCATTTTGCATTCTCTGAAAACCCTCAGAATAAAGCCTGCAGAAATCGTTAGATATTATGGGCTAGATCTTCAGCTGAGGCAAAAATCATGTCTCTCCACTGAAGTTAGTGCTGCTTTACACCAAGTGAGGAGCTGGCTCAGTATTTCTGTCATGCTATCAGTGCTGTTCAGGAAACAGAATTTCTGTCTGGCAGGAAGTGCAACTATTTTGACATCTATTTGCATTTCAGAAATGGGATTAAAAACTGAACCAACCAGCATGTTCAAAGAATGGAAAGTAACCCATGAAGAAGTTCCTATTGGAAACGGGAAAATGATGGATTTTAACATTGTCAGCTGAAATCAAATCCCACTCACTTCAGTAGACCATATTCTGTTGTGTACAACATGGACCTTTTCCTTCAAAAAAAGCCCTAAGATGCTAGAAATTGGGAGGTATATCATGAGTAACAAATATGGTAATGTTCTGCTTTGTAAGACCCTGGGGGGGTCGGTGGGGAGAAGGGGATGAGAGGCCAACAAGGAGCAATGCAAAGAGCACATCGGGCTTCCTAGCGGCAGGTACACAGTTACTCAGATCTTTTTTCCTTCATTCTGCCATTCAAAACAAGATGTATATCATATACCACGGTGTGTTGTATGCATGCAAATATGGTATCTTGGCCAAAATACCTGGACTGTCACTAATCACTGTTCTTTGATTTTTTAAAAATCTATTCCCAGCTACTTAACTGGGCCTGGGATAGACACTTACTGAACACAGTGTCCTGCTGTGAGGACCCAGCATGACTCAATGAGAACCCCTCCACAGAAGTGTCCCTTAGGCTCAAAAGCGCTCAATGAATACTTCCTCTGTAGAGATGCCATCCAGGGATGTTTGCCAGGAGTAGACTTGGACCCACCATAGATCCTCTGGAACGATCTCACAGTCCCTGGCTGTCCACATTTTCTAGGTGGCTCAGTAGGGTTGACTGTTGTCGTTGGATCCTCTTCTGCAGCACAGGGGGGAGATAGGTAATGCATGGTCTATATTGGTTATCACAGGAATGGCTATGATGCTGGGTTTTGAACATCTGGCACAGTTGCTGGACTGGGAATGGAAATTGGGGATGTGCCAGTGCAAAACGGTTCCATTAAGCTGCCAATAACCCATCACTCCAGGTTAGACAAGGCTGTCATCTTTTGCCCTGGGCAGTAAGCATCTCAGATACAGTTCATTTGGCTGCCTTCTCTGTGCAATATGCAGGCAAGGCACTATATCAGCCATAGGTGCATGGACAGACCTTATAGTAGGGGTGTTTAAAAATATCTTGTTAGTGGCACTACAGTTTTCTGGCTTGCCTCCTAGAAGCAAGTGACTGGCAGACTGGCAGGAGTCAGGGCAGCAAGCAGGCTAAATTTCCCTGTGCTATCCCTGGCCTAACTGTGCTAACAGATGATCCCAGTTGCCTGCATGGAGAGGCTCCTGACTCCAACCCAGACCTCTGCCTTCCACCGGCCAGCTCCGGGGTCACGGCTGAGCTTGGTGATTGCCCGCATCCCATTCCCGTACAGCTACAGTTGCCAGCTCCACCCCCCCCATACCTAGTGACTCCAGTCTGGATCCCTGCATGACCTCCCCTAGCTTCTGGTTATAATCAGGATGACCATGTATGTGCAGGTCCCTTATAGACCTTGCCCTCCTGATCTCCTGACTCTGCCTGGGACCTTTGCTTCCTGCCCTTGTCTGTTCCTGATTCCCTGGGCTGTGGCTCTCTGGGATCAAGCCCTGACTGCCCATGTCCCAGTCACACCCTTGACACACTTCATAGTACTACCTACTAGTCTGGGCTAGGTGCACATATAGTGACATTCTTTGCTCTACCTGTTTCTGAGCAGGGTGAAATGTCACAGAAATCCCACTTCAATTTGTTCTCGGATTGGAAAAAGCACCAGGGTTTTTCATCACCGTCTGGATTCCTGAAGGGAACAGTTTCCAACATCCTCTAATCAGAGTTGGGAAGTCTTCAAGAGGTTGGTCTAATAGTTGAAAACTAAAGGGTGCACAACAGCGTGGCTAAACAGACTAACTAAAGGTTTACGGTTCCAGAAACCTTACTTCATTTTTAACAAGCAAAACCCCTGGGCAGATTGAATAAAGTGTCTTCCTGCCACCTTTCCAGCCCTTGGGGATGACCGTTGACCAGTTTTGTACTCCTGCTAGTCCAAGATGACCTGTTAGAGGGATGTCTACAGAATGGTCCTAGCAGAGAGTAGGTTTACATTGCCTGGGAATTTCCCTCCCCCCAAATCACTTGAGCGGCTTCCTTTGGCATGACTTCTTTACATTCATTGAGAGAGACCTCTGTGCACGTAGCAGTAGATTAGGAGATTACCTGCAGAAGTTATGGTCACCAATGCCATAACTGTCAGCATTCTCCATAAATGCATTGAACCTATCATGCAAGAGAAGGTGAGAAGTCCAATGAAGACACATCTTCCTGTTTATCAGCTGATTAACTTTCCCTCTGTATTGGTAGCTGTCCTGTTCATAACAATCATCTGGTCCTATGGAAAGAGGATGCCGATATGAAACAGTCTGGAAGTAAGGGCTGAAAGCTAACAAAGGAGTGAAACTGGCCATGCTGAGTGCTCATTAAAAAGACTGGCTGTGCATGGTTGGCCTGAGGTTTATACAGACCCCTACTGTGTGCACAGCAAGAGATTGCATTTTCCACCCTCCCTTCTCTTACCAGTGTGAGCCCATGCACTCCCACTCACTCGCTTTCTTCTACACCTGGGAGATTGCTGAAGCAGCCTAGGGAGCCCTTTGGAAGGACCACCCAACATAGGCGACTGGTGCCTCCCGAGTCTGGGGGGGGGCACCAGATTGCTGATGGGGGGGGAGGCGGGGGTCCTCCAGTAGCCGATTGCCAACTGGGGGAGGGTCCGGTGGTTGGGGTGGGGGGGCACTGGAAGTGCACTTCTGCTGGTGCTTCCAGGGGGTGCACGGCCACTCTCAGGGGGTGCACATGTACTCGCGTGCACCCCCTATGCATCGCCAATGCCACCCAACCTCAGGGAGGATCCTTTGTGACTGCATACACCAGCTTCTTGCACTGAAACCCACCCTGAGCATATGAGTACTCCAGCTACATACTTGGGCCCCTGTGTAGGAACTCGTTAGGGGATCTCTTGTAGGATTGGGCCTTGCTTTGGAAAGCTATAGGTGGAGAATCACCCTTCCCCTCGAAGGAGGGAGAGCCAAGTTCTTACATACCTATTTCACAGAATCTCCCTCTGAAGGGCTTGACACACCGGCAAGTAGATTTTGATCTTGTCCTGTGCCGTACACAGGTGCCTCCATTTTGACATGGGTTTGGGGTGCATTGTGATGATGCTGTAAATGATTCAAAACACAAAAAACCCCACTGTTAGTCTGCTAGGAGTTGGCCACCTGTATGAATGTTTGAAGGTTTTGAACATGGCCCATCATCATTTTTGCAAGCAGGGATAGCATATCAGACCCGTCAGACCCTTAGACACAGAAGGAAGACCCTTTAGACCTTGACCTAGGCTGGAAGTGGTAGGAGACTCCGCTTCCCAAGGGATCCCACTGGCTTCCAGTCGGACACTGGGTGGAGAAGCCACCTGTCAGGGCTGAGCATGCAGTGTAGTCCCCAGGCCCAGCTATGGCTCATGCAAATGAAGAGAAACTTTACTCACTTTTGCGGCAGTCGGGCTCCTTGTAGGGATGGATACAACTGCACCGAAAATAAGGTGGAGTTAGTGTGACAAGGCAGTCTCCTCTGTGACAGTTGTGTTGTTGGCACATGTTCAGCACTGTGGTGGTCAGATGAGACAGAAACTTGAGTTAATCTTCAGACATGCATGTGTGTGCGTGTCACACAGGAGCCGAGTCCTATGGATGCCACAGAGAGACAAGCTTCCCACGGACTTTCTAATGCCACTTTTGGCTATGGTGATGGAAGAGCCCAAACAGAAATTTTAACCTTTAACCTCTCCCCTGGAGAGTTTCACAAACATGGGATTCCTTCAGGGATTTGTCCACATTCTTCCACAAAAGATCACACTTTGGCGTGTACTTCAACATGCACACACAGAAAAAAATAGAAGAGGTACCGCCACTTCCTTGATTCCCAATGGGACGATTTGGAGAATCCCCCTACGTACAACATGCTAATGAAGTTTGGCACACTGTGCTCTCGGTGTGCTTATCCACCTAAGGTGGTCTGCACTGTTTTCTTGCTAAGGAGACAAAAAAACAGCACCTGCATGCTTAAGCTGGGCAAGCCAACTTGCTGAAAGCTGAGTAGGACTGTGCGGGCAACACAATAGAAACACTAAGAAAAGGGGTCATGACACAAACGCTGGTTAGAATGAATGTGTTTGCAAGGAGCGAATTGAAAATCCCCCAAAAGGAGGAGAACAGAAGGGAAGGATATCAGAGCAAGGGCCAGGGGGGCTCAGGGGAATAAAGGCACCATAATTCTGTCCCGAGAGAGGAATTTGTTGGGTGTAGGACTGGCCAAGGTTAAAATGAGTTGGTTTCAGGAGACAGAGAGGCCATAATTCAGCGGAGACAATCCTAGAGAACTTCAACCATCTTCCCAACAGAAACTCAACTGTGGTGGGGAAGGAAGCAGGGAATGGTGTTTTTACCTGGTCTACATAGAGAATAGCTATGGCAGAAACCTCCAGGAAGCTGGAGTGTTTCATGCTATGGCTATCGCATACGTTCACAGAAGCAAAGAGTAACCCCACAATGCCTATAGGGTTGAAGCTCTGGGAAAGGAGGTGCCCCTGCTTCTGGGATGTCAGAAAAGATGGGGACATCAAAGTAGCTGGACTGTGAGGTCCCTCAAGGGAGAACAGGCAGATAATCCTTGCCAGCACCGTCCAGGAAAAGGCAGGGCTGGATCTTGCTCAGGCCAAGGAAGTTTAAAGTGTACAAGTCCAGTTTGTGGGGAGCCAAAAGCAAAGAGAAGATCTAGAAGGAGTTCAACATGCACACCCATCAGATGAACACACAAAGGCAGAGGAAGTACATGGCCAGAGAGACCCAGAGCACCTCCATAGGGCTGACCTTGCTAACGGATGCCTGTTGTGCACACCTCGATTGTTTTCTTTCCTGGAGGCCTTGCTCTAAAGGACTACACATGGGATTGCACTGTAAAATTGAAGGGCAGTTTATGTGGCTGTACTGGAATACCCTACCCTGGACTGCAGTAAGCAACACGTTGTGTGAAGCACCATGCACATTTACAGTGCTGTGTACAGAACAGCAACAACACTAGGAAAAAAGCACTTACCTGCATTACATGTAGTCCCGGTATATGGCTTGGGGCAGGTGCATGTGTAGTTATCTTGGTGCCTTTCACACACCCCGTTATTTTTGCAAGGGTTGGATGAGCAGGGATCTACCGGGGCAAAGACAAAGGCTGTTTCTTCACAACTTC